GCATCATATACTTGATACTGTGAATTTAGGAAAATACCAGTCCTTCTAGATCCTAGTCCCCTCCAGACTCCTCGAGATACCCTCGAAGCAAAATCCACACACCCTTTTTAAAAATAAAGAGGCCTCTGAGCAGAGGGCTGGGGGCACTGGCTTGTAAAGCCTTCCTTCCTGACATGTCTGTGCTTTTGATTTTGTCTTTGTTAATAAGACCACTTCTGAAGTGTTCATATTTCATTTCAAATATTCAGCATTTTAATTAGAATACATAAAAGTACCGATAAAGTTTATTATGATCTTTAGGATAAATTATGGGCATAACAGTAAATACTATTATTAATATAATGCACTTTTTTTTTAATTGTTGTATACCATCCAATCATATCCAGCTGGTACAGGAGGAGATTGCCCCTCCTTCTCCAGCAGAGCATCTAGTGGATTCAGATAGCTTGCCTTCAAGATTGCAGCACAGCTTCTTGCCACTAGGCCACCAGAGCTCCTAATATAATACACTTTTTTAGATTTTATTGTTCTGTAGATTATATCTTTCAGTTTCCAAATAGACTGACAGCAAACCTTCTTATAGAATACTGATGTTAAATTTTATGACATCTTTACAAGAATCTTTAATCATTCATAATTTCTTTTAAAAAAATTTGTTCATCTTCCAATACAGCATGCCTTGTTCTCTAGTAAAGAATTAAAAGTAAAGGGATAATATGCTTTCCCTGTAACGTGAAGCAGTTTTGAGTCAGATGAAATTGGCTGTCAAGTTGACTTCAGACTTTAAAAGCAATTCTTTTTTGTTAGTCGTCTCTAATAGATTGTGATCATGTAAGGTCATTATAATCAGAGATAGTGAGATTGGCTCAAGGTAAGACAGGATTCAGATCCTTAGGGCCACTGTGAGTCCTATATGACTAGAGGCACATAACAGCAATAGGATCATTACAGTTACCTACAATCATTAATGAATCAAGGATGTAAGGTTTTCAGACTATTCAAGTGAATACAGTTTCTTTTTACTGTTGTACTAACTTCCTTTTACTGGTACAGTTATCTCAGTTCTTAGAGAAAAGAGATCACTGTGTATATTAAGACAAAATATCCTTGCCCTTTGACCCAGTAATTGCCTCCGAGAAATTGATGACTAATATTGTTTATTGAGCTGTGGTCTGTAGATCTCCCAAAATGATAAAAACAAAAGTATGTCTTTAAACAAAACAACATATTTCTATAGTTTATCCCCCAAATAAAGGAAATTTGTAGTATTTAAGAAAAGGAAATTGGTGCATACATTTTAAACAAATTACATACTGTAATTGTGTATACCACTATTTTAAAATTATTTTATTTAACAGTGATAATGTCTCTGAATGTGTCTTTAGAGAAAAACAAATTAAACTTTATTTTTTATGTTCCTATGTTAATTTGATAAATTTCACCTTATGTTTTATAGAGCTAAATTATGAAATGTTAACTGTATTGAGATTAATATGTAACTGAAACTGTTAATTTTAGTTGGAGTAACTAGTGAAGGTGAATACAAATGGAAACAAATACATGAACCTACAAATTTATCCTTTTAAAGTGTTCCTAAAGTTTTAAAATTTTATTTTAAAATGTTGTGTTAAAACATATATAACACCAGTTCCTTGTAGAGATTGGACTGGCTAAGGACGACCAGCTGAAGGCTCATGGGTTTTAAGTGCTTGGGGCTCACTGAAGCTTAAGTGAGGATTTCCTTACAATGAGTAGAAAATTTCCCTTCTCTCCCTTGTCACAAGTTTAAAACTTCACAGCTTGTATAATGTAACCATTTGGGGTCCACTTTTAACTTGGACTAGTGTAACACTTTCATGCAATAAACGGAAAAGAACCAGAAAAAAAAACCAAAACCAACATATATAACAAAAATTTCCCCCTTTAACCATTTTAAAATGTAAATTCCAATGACATTAGTTACATTTAACTAATATAACCATGTTGTATAACCATGTTGTTGTTATGTGCTGTTGAGTTGCTTGCAGCTCATGAAAACCCTGTGTACAAGAGCTTGAAACCGGCTCTATCCTGTGCCAACTTTATTGTCTCTGACACACCTGCCTCATTATCCCAGTCACTGAATCGATCCATCTTATCGAGGGGTTTCCTCTCCTGCGCCGGCCCTCCACCCTCCCAAACATGCTGTCCCTCTCCAAGGACCAGTCCTTCCTTGCAACATGTTCAAAGTATGTCAGACGAAGCTTTATAACCAGTATAAATTCTAAAACTTTTTCATGTCTCCAAACAGTAGTTCAGTACTTTAAGCAGTAACTCTCAGTAGTCCTCTTGGCCTGGTAACCAGTCATCTACTTATGTCTCTATGCATTTGCTTGTTATAGATATTTATTTATAAGTGAGGTCATATATTATTTTCCCTTTGAAAATTTTCGCTTTGAAATTTTGCTTTTATTTTGCTCAAGTTCTTGATCGAGAAGGTTTTATGAAAATTTCATTAAGTTATTATTTTTTAGAGATCTTAGAAAATTCAAAGATGCCAAGAAACAATTTGAAAAAGTGAGTGAAGAAAAAGAGAATGCATTAGTAAAAAATGCTCAAGTACAAAGGAACAAACAGCATGAAGTTGAGGAAGCCACAAACATTCTAACAGCAACAAGAAAATGTTTTCGACACATAGCTCTTGACTACGTACTTCAGGTATATTTATTATGTTTTCAAAGAAATGGTTACTAAACACATTTTTTTGAGTGATTATGAAATTGACTTAAAAACTTGTTTCAGGTTTTTTTGGAAATGATTATTTCTTTTTTTTACTGGTTTGTTTACAAAGTTTGTATACATTGTATTTCACACCATTCTTCATTCACATTGTGTTTCATACAGTTATTCTCATGCATTATGTTTTATAAAATTAATCACCATTGGACTTTGCCCATCCTTACCCTGTCTTTTCTCAGTCTTTTTAAAGAAGACTGTGATCATCTAAGATCATTAAAATTATAAGAAAAATTCTATGTGTATGTTGTTGTTATTGTTGTTGTTGTTATGTGCCGTCAAGTCATTTGCGACTCATAGTGACCCTATGTACAACAGCCCTAAACCCTGCTCTATCCTGTGCCAATCTCATTGCCTCTGACACACCCATCCTGATTACCCCAGTCACTGAATCATTCCACCTCATAGAGGGTCTTCCCCTCCTGCGCTGTCCCTCCACTCTGCCCAGCATGATGTCCCTCTCTAAAGACCTGTCTCTCCTTAAAACATGTCCAAAGTATGTCAGGCGAAGCCCCAGAATCCTTGCCTCCAAGGAGCAGCCTGGTTTAACCCTCTCTAGGATGAATCTGTTTGTGTTCTTGGCAGTCCATGGTACATTCAATACTCTTCTCCAGCACCACAGCTCAAAGGCATCAATTCTCCTTCTATCCTCCCTGGTCATTGTCCAGCTCTCTGATGCATAACAAGTGATTGCAAAAACCATGGCCTGTATCTTTGTGTAAACAGTGTGAAAAATTCTCATCTACACACACACAGACATTATGTGTGTGTGTGCGCGCGCATTCATCTGGCTCTGATTTCTCTGGTTTTTTTCAGTTAACATACTTTCCTCCACTTTAAAATCTTAAAAAGTGCCATTTCAAATTGCTATATAATATTCATGAAATGCCATCTCAATTAGTATTTCATTATCAAACATTTATTTGTAATAGAGAAAATGAAACTTTTATTCCTAGTAAATGATAATTACAAGCTTGTGTAAAAATATTTTACCACATTTCTTATTAATTCTTTAGAATACATCCTTAGAGTAGAATTAGCACTTAAAATTATTCTGGGCACGGGGTGGGGGGGACCCTGGTGGCCTAGTGGCAAGGAGCTGCAACTACAATCCCAGAGGCCCACGGTTTGAATCCACCAGATGCTCTGCCGGGGAAGGAGGGACAATCTCCTCCTGTATCAGTCAGATCTGATTTGACAGTACACGCACACAAAAATGAAAAAAAAAATTATTCTAGGGGTCTCTGTATTCCAAAATGAAAATCGTTTGTAAAGATAGTGTTCTCATGGATGCTTTTTTTTGGTTTGTTTGTTTAATTGGTGGTCTCTGTTAGGTGACTTGCTTGGGAATCAAGTTCAGCTATACAATTGAAGCCAGTTTGAGTTCTGGTGATACAGGACGTATGAGTTCTGGTGATTCACATTGGCTAAAGGTTCCAAGGGAGAAAAGTAGGCTGTCTCCTCCTGTACAGTGTCCAGCCTCTGAAAACCCTCTGGAGAGTCAGGCATGAATTAGTTCTGACTTGATGATAGTGAGGTCGCTAGATGAGCTTAGAAAGACGGAGGGCAAGCGAAGGAGAGCGACACTCTCAGTCAGAGAGATTGACACGGTGACTTCAGCAAGGGGCTCTAGTGTGTCAGAGATGACGAGGATGGACAGGATTCAAGTTGGCTGTTCATAGGGTCACTGTGAGTCATATTCGACTCAGTGACACCTAACAGCAACAACAAAGGAATTTGAAATGCCTAAAAATAAAAGCATTCTTTTTAGACATTATTTTAAATGCGGTATTTACGTACAGCATGTGTTACTATGTAGAAGTATATGGAATCTTGAAGCTTAAAGAATTATTTATAAATTTCCTTTTTTAATAACTGTGATGGAGTTTGTAGAGATTATTGACCTTACTATGATTGCAGAGTTTTTCTTTAAATAATACTTAAGTAATCATACACAAATTAGTGATCAAGCTCTACTTAGGGAACTAGTGGTATTCCTGGGTGTGGTGTAAATAGTTAAGTGCTGAGATGCTAACTGAAAGCATGGCTTTGGGAGTCCATCCCGAGGTGCCTGGGAGAACAGCGTGACAGTCTACTTCCAGAAAGCCAGTCAGTGAGAATCCTGTGTAGCGTAATTCTACTGTGACTCAGGTGCAGTTGCTATGAGTTGCAACTGACTTGGTAACAACTGGTTGTACACTACTCTGGAATAGATAAAGAAAAGGACTGTTGTACAAAAAGAACATATGATTTGGCACGCTATGTATGACAAATGACAAGCTAGATTAGGAGAGGGTAAGAGAGAAGGGAGGAAAAGGTGCATCAATGAATGAATGAAAACCCAATCTTTCTATAAACTCTCATTAAAATCACATTTTAAAGAAACCTTTAGAAAAGAGCATCGATGCTTTTCTTGTTAAGTTCTTACCTCTCTTATTATTTCATTGGAACCAACTCATAGATGCCCTTTACTGGGTTTTTAGAGGCAGTAAATTGCAAGGGAGGAGATTGCCCATCTTTCTAACTCCCACACCCTGCACTCCTTCCTTCCAGTCTGCCTGATGAGCTCTGCCTCTGGGTTAAGCAGCACAGCTCTCTATGAATTGTGCTGCCATCTAATTAATTGTTATTAGATGCCATCAAGTTGACTACAACTTGCAGTGACCCTATGAACAACTTCCATTTGACCACCTTTTCTTTCTTTCTTTTTTTAAATTTTATTATTCCTTTGTGTGTGTACCATCAAATTGGATCTGACTGGTACAGAAAGAGATTGCCCTCCTTCTCCAGCGGAGCATCTGGTGGATTCAAACTGCATACCTCTGGGATTACAGTGCAGCTTCTTGCCACTAGGCCACCAGAGCTCCCTTCCACCTTTTCTTTTTAAGGCGAGCCAATAGTATTTGTCTTCCAAATTTCTTTCCTTAACAACTGAGCACGTCCAGGACTGCATTTCTTTGCTGGAACACCACAGTTGATCTGTCTTTTCCGGGAGCCTTATTTTCTGCCAGTGTTTTTATTCAGTCAGTTTAGACTTCTTTCTTCAGTACTGTTGGTTTTTGTTCATATGCTTCTTCCTGAAATGGTTCAGTGTTGACCAGTTCTTTTTGGTTCAGTGCTTCTGTGTATTCCTTCCATTGATACCTCATGAATAATTCTGTATTTTGCCCTTTGATCATTTAGTATTAGAACTTGAGGCTTGAATATTCTGCAGTTTTTTTCAGCTGGAGGTGTGTTCTTAAATGTATTCCTCCTGTTTGCTTTTCCAATTCCGGGCCTTTGCTCATTAAGTTATAGTACTTTGCTTTGTCTTGTTGACCTGTCTTTTGAAATCTTCTGTTGAGCTAACTCTTACTTCATCATTTCTTTTGCTTTTACTTTCCTTCTTTGAAGAGCAAGTTTCAGAGTCTCTTCTGATTCTTGATTTGGTCTTTTCTGTTTTTATAATGAAATATTATCCTTGATATCATTCCACTACTGGTCTGATCTTTGCTCATTAATGTTCAGTGCATCAGATCGGTTCTTGAAATGCCTTTTAAATTCAGATGGAATAAACTCAAGGTGGTATGTTAGCTCTTGTGGAGTTGTCCTAATTTTTGTCAGCTTCAATTAGAATTTGCACATAAACAACCGATTGTTCAGCAGTCAGCCCCTGACCTTTTTTTGTCCACTCATATTGAGCTCCTTCCTGTCTGTTTTCACAGAAGTCGTTAGTTTATTTGACCCTTGTACTCTGTCACGGGAGGTCCATGTGTCAAGTCCACCTGTATGTTTTTTATAAAGGCATTCAAACTTAACTGCATCATCCATAAAACACAAGTAAACATCTTTCTGATATTCTGTGCTTTTAAGTTAACACACATTTGACATCAACAGTTATATCCCTTGTTTCACAGCCTTTTCTCTGGTTTACATTTCTGGCAGTTCTTTGTCAACATACTATTCTAGCTGTTTTTAAAATATTTTCAGCAAATTCTTATTTGTATGTGATTTTAAATTTTAATTATTTTTATGTGTATGTGTGTGCCGTCAAATTGGATCTGACCAGTATAGAAGGAGATAATCCTTCCTTTTCTATCAGAGCATCTGGTAGATTTGAACCGTGCTGCTCTAGGATTACAGTACAGCTTCTTGCCACTAGGCCACCAGAGCTCTATTTGTATGTGATTTTAATGATGTTGTTATTAATATGCTGTTGAGTCGCTTGCAACTCGTAGCGACCCTATGTACAACAGCCCTACACCCTGCTCTATCCTGTGCCAATCGCACTGCCTCTGACACACCCATCCCGATTACCCCAGTCACTGAATCAAGCTACCTCATAGAAGGTCTTCCCCTCCTGCGCTGTCCCTCCACCCTACCAAGCATGATGTCCCTCTCCAAGGACCTGTCTCTCCTTACAACATGTCCAAAGTATTGTCAGACGAAGCCCCAGAATCCTTGCCTTCAAGGAGTAGCCTGGTTTAACCCTCTCCAGGATGAATCTGTTTGTTTTCTTGGCAGTCCATGGTACATTCAATACTCTTCTCCAGCACCACAGCTCAAAGGCGTCAATTCTCCTTCTATCCTCCCTAGTCATTGTCCAAATCTCTGATGCATAACAAGTGATAGCAAAGACCATGGCTTGTATCAGAAGCACCTTAGTCTCCAGAGACACACCGTTGCTATTGAGTACTTTAGAGAGGTCCCTAACAGCAGACTTTCCCATCGTAATACGTTTTTTTGATTTCCTGGCTGCTGGTGCCAAGAGTGTTGACTGTGGAGCTGAGCAAACTGAAGCTGTGAATAATCTCAATCTCTTCGCCATCCATCCTGATGCTGCCAATTGGTCCAGTGGTGAGAATCTTTGTCTTCTTGACATTGAGCCTCAATCCATACTGAAGGCTGCAGTCCTTGACCCTCTGCAGCAAGTGCATCAGGTCCTCCTCAGTTTCAGCAAGCAGGGTGTGTCATCTGCATAACGCAGATTGTTAATAGATCTTCTACCAATCCCGATGCCACACTTCTCCTCATAGAGCCCAGCCTCTCGGATAATCTGCTCTGCATACAGGTTGAAAAGGTATGGAGATAGGACACATCCCTGGTGTACACCCTTCCCAATTTTGAACCATGCTGTGTTACCCTACTCGGTTCTGACAATTGCCTCTTGGTCCAAGTATAGGTTTCGCATTAGGACGATCAAGTGTCCTGGTATTCCCATTCTTCTCAGAGTCATCCACAGTTTGTTATTATCCACACAGTCAAACGCCTTTGTATAATCAATGAACACAGATAGACATTCTTCTGGTATTCCCTGCTTTCAGCTAAGATCCATCTAACATCAGCTACACTATCCCTAGTACCACGACCCCTTCTAAACCCAGCCTGGACTTCTGGCAGCTCTCTGCTGATGTGCTGTTTCATTCTGTTGGGTCTTTCCTCCCTCTTCCTCAATGGAAGAAATAAAGATTTCTTCCTGTTGTTCAGGAATCTATTTTCCAAATTTCTTGAGATAGGCTAGTGAGTGAGTACACCCAGAGCTGCATCTGTTTCTTGAAATGCTTCAATTAGTATTTCCTCAATTCCTGGGCCTGTTTTTTGCCAGTGCCTTCAGTTCAACTTGAACTTCTTTCTTCAGTACTTGGTTCTTCATTATATGCTACTTCCTGAAATGGTTCAGGGTTGACCAATTCTTTCTGCGCAATGACTGTGACTATGTCTCTCTGTGTGTGAGAGTGTGTCATTAAACTTATCTCAAGCTGAAAGAAATGAAAAAAATTCAGGCTTTTTGTTGAATTTATGAGGATTCTACGGGCAAAATAGGGAATGATGCAGGAAGCATCAAAAGATGGTCGATAATACACTGAGTTGATCATATACCACTTGTGTATGACTCAGCCATTGTACAAAATTGTATCATGGAATCTATGTCACTAATACTTTGTTTTCCAACTTTTGTATTCTAGTCACTAATTGTTAGCATGAATTCATCTTGATTGCATGATTTAATAAATTTCTGCAGAAATAAATTTCAGGCTTTCAGGAATTATCCTTGTTGGGGTCTTACTTATTCATGGAACATAGTTTAAATTTTTACCAACTAGGCCATTATGTTAAACTGGAATGGTAAACCAATACAAAGAGAGCAAACAGTTTCTATAAGGCCTTGAGGTGGGGTCAGTTTTGAAATGTGGTTGGAACACATCGAGAAAGTGGGAAAGTGGTGAAAACTATATTGGAGAGAGAATCAGGGACCTCATCAGAAAAGGTTTTAAAATAGACCACAGTAGGAGGTTCTCATGCTATGCCATGCTTAATTGGAAGCATTCAAGAATTTTAAATTGGAGGAAACATAGTCTTTTTCTACCTTTTAAAGTAGCTGCTCTGGTTGTTGTGTGGAGTATGGATTATAGGATGTCAAGTTTGGAAACAGAACCATTTCACACAGACTATTTTAACAGCCCACAAATGTTAAAATATAGATTGGTGATCTCTCTTCTCTTCAAAGTTCTTTTCAACTTTCCCTTATGGTACTTGTTGACTATCGGTCTCGTGCCGGTATTTAGCCTTAGATGGAGTTTACCACCTGCTTTGGGCAGCATTCCCAAGCAATCCGACTCTGGGAAGACCCGGCCCCGGCCCGCTGGGGGCCGCTACCGGCCTCACACCGTCCACGGGCTGGGCCTCGATCAGATGGTGGTGAAATATTTCAATAATTGGGTTAACGATATGTGTGGAATGGTTTTGAATAGTTAGAGAAGACGGGAAGGAAAATGGAATTAGAAGAGGTTTAGATGTCAAAGCACTTTGACATTTTGGTGTTATAATTTAAATGGCCAGTTTTTCTTTGAGGGTAAAAATGGATACAAATTTTATTGATATGCTTGCCTTAAGAGTATTTACCAAAAGAAGATTGAAGGATGAAAAAACCGGAACTCCATTTTTATTTGCTATTAAACGAAGCATTAAGCCAGTAGAATTAGCAAATTTTACGATGTTACATTATGAAATAGTTTTAAAAATGGTGTTTGAGTGATTAACCAAGTATATTTTCCCTCAGATTAATGTTCTCCAATCAAAAAGAAGATCAGAAATACTAAAATCAGTAAGATATTTATTGAAATATTATAAATATTTAAAATCAATATTGCAGTTTAATGTAAATGTAAGATAAATATTATAAATATCTTAATATAAGTACTATAAGTATTTGAATATAAATCAATAATATAGATATTTAAGGGTTTAAAACCACATCTCTTGTGTATATATGTGTGTATGTGTATGAGAGTACATATATATATCTTAATATAGAATGTCCAAAGTTTATAATTGCTTTTCTTATTGATCTTTTTTTTTTAACTTCTTATTGATCTTTATCCTTATGTCACTCTGTCTCCTCATGTTGTAGTTGTTTGTGAACATTTCATCTCTTATTACACTTTAAGCGCCTTATAGGCAGATCTTGAGCTGTCCTGTTTTTAGTTTCTATAATCCTAATAAAATATGAGTATTCAACTCGCAGTGATATTTGGTGCGATCATGTAAACCTGTATCTCAGGATGTTTCAAAATTTGTTTTGAAATATAAAAACACGGTGCTGGTGAGCTCTGGTGGCCTAGTGGCAATAAGCTGCACTGCAATCCCAGAGGTGCACAGTTCAAATCCACTAGATGCTCTGCTGGAGAAGGAGGGACAGTCTCCTCCTGTACCAGTCAGATCTGATTTGACGGTGCACACAAAAACCAAACAAAAACCAAGGTGTTATTACATTTGAGGTTTGGATGTCATTTGTATTTACTTTTGAATTTTTTTGTTTTCAACCCCTTTCAAAGAACATTTTCCTGTATGTTTCTTATATATTATTTGATCATTTACAATAATTGATATTAAAGACGTGTATGAAGAGTACCATTTGGAGAATTTTCCCTTTAGATTATCAGCCCTTTGGTTTGTTCTTCGCTGGGCAGTTTTAAAAAAAGGATGAAATGGAAGAGTCACTTCTTTTTCCTTTCTGAAGCTTTACACTTGTAATGACAATGATTCCACCCCCCCCCCTTTTTCCTTTTGCAATTTGAGTGAAAGTTTACAAAGAGAATTAGTTTCCATTCAACCATTCATATACATTTTATTTCAGGCAATATTTTTTTCTTGCTCATTTTTTTGCTTTAAGGTTTAAAAAGAAGTGGGCAGGGGATGGTAGTGGTTTGATATCTCACTCTTTAATAGTTTGAGATTTCTACTTTCTGAAGTACTTTTTCCCCATAAAGGCTCTACTTAAAAATTGCTTTTGATCCTTCCTTCTCCCCCCTAGCTTTTTTGTTTATAATCACATAGTACCCTATGAGGTAAGTACTTTGTACTTTATATTTTTTAAAAAGATAATATCTATTCCCCCTTTCTTTCCAGATTGACATTAATGTATATTAATTTTAGAAAACTGGAAAATAACATCTATGGAGAAGAAAATAAAAACCACTTGTACTTCCAAGGGAGAACCACCGTTAATATTTTGATGTATATCTTCTAGTCTTTTTTCTCTCTGTGTGTTTGTGTGTCTTGGTGTATGTGAATATGTATATGTAGTTTTTAAATTAAAAAAACAAAATTGGATTCAATCCTACATACTCTTCTGTGAATTATATTTTATTAATTACGTATTATACTGTAACATCATCCTGTGTCATGAAATAATCTTTAATGTGGCTAGGTACAGTTATAACACATGAATTTATTAGGAGTCCACACACTTGTGTGTACAATTAGATATATTAATCTCCTTAGGGTATGTAATCTTTATCTTAACTACCCTGCTCTGCTATTGTGGAGAGAAAAATAGCTATTTAACAGTATGTAACTGAACACATTAACTATTGCAAGGAATCTGTTTTGTGAATACAGAAATTGGAACTCACCATTTTTCAGTTATGAAATGTTATCCATTTAAAAAATATGAAAATCATTAATAGTTTATAGACCACATAGAACTAGGGGTGGGCTGGCCTTAATGTTTGGGTTGTAGTAGTTTGCTGGCCTCTTAATTCTGCCCTAACTTAACTTTACCCATTAATGGGTATGTAATTAATTTCCATGCTTAGGACATTGAACAAATAGCATTGTGATGATCTTCTATTAAATCATTAGCGTAATCTTCTTATTTCCTTAGAGTAGATTCATAGGTGAGGGATTACTTAGAAGGTTTAAGAATTTATTAATTATTAAAAATATTGTCATATTTCAAGCTTATACAACTGCTTACATTTACTAATGTATGAGAGTAAACCTTTTCCCACACTTTTACCAGCATCAAGTGTTAGCTTCCTAATTTAGTAGATAGCACTCCAAATTTAGTAGATAGTGAGCACAATCTCATTGTTCAGTTTTGCATTTTGTTAATAGAAATGAGTCTGAACATTTTGTTTTCCTTTTTTTGTGGGGGTTGGTCTCTTGTACTGCCCATTTGTGTTGTCTCTCTTTGTGTTAGTGTTCATCTTTTTCATTCTGGTTTGTAACATCACTGATGCATTAAGACTACTACTTTGTGTTATGTATTTTCTAGTTTATAATTTTTAAAATTTCTTTATTACACACTTTAATGTTCAGACATATTTTATGTTTCATGAGCCATAAATATTAATCTTTCTTTTTTTCAAGCCATTAGCTTATTAATGACACAGAGTTGTATAGCCACTACCATTGTCTAATTTCAGAACAATCTCTTTGTGTAATTGTTGCCATTTTTCTTTTAATTGGTTTTCTACTTTGAAAAATATTTTTTCTGGTGGATTAATAAGTATTAAAGTAGTTAGATTTCAAAGCATTGAACATGTGTCTTTTGCTAAAAATAGCATGCATGTTTGGAGGATTATTTTGGTATTCTGCACTTAATTATGTAATTCTCTCACATGTAAAGACTTAGCTAATAAAATTAGGGTGATTTTCTGATTGAATAAGCATAATAAAGAAAAATTTGTTAAAAATCTTAAGTGAATGACATTTTTTGATTTGTAGGCAGTTTATCAACAAGAAATAATCATGTTGGGACAAGTCTGTTGTCTCATTGTTATCTTTAGGGGAAATAAAATTGAGCAGTCCTCTACTTCAGATTGTGCTTGTTTATCTAGTAGATTATAAAATGTTTTGTCATTGGTTTATTTTGAGAGATTTTTACCTTTTCCCATCTTAATTTTTGTATTTTATTCTTTAAGGTTTACCAGTGAGTTTTACTGAAGGAAAGCACATTGATATTTAATAATATATCTAGGAAGCTAGTAATAGTCTTGAAAGTTTATTTGCATTATTATTACATAAGTATTTACCCTCTAGATACAGCCTAATCCATTAAAATTTTGAAAATTACTAAAACTTAAATGATTGGAAAATGTTTTTAAAAGTAAAATTCCGTTTTTGCTACATTTGCAAATATTTTTAAGTACTGTGATGAAGAATGACTCAGTAAGTTTGACTTTAAATTGGCTTAGCTCTGAGTTCTTTTGAATAATTTTTAAATATAAAATCATCATTTTAAAATATTTCTGAATAGTTACTGAGCAATGGACAATAACATCATGTTTCTCCCCAATTAGATGCTATCCTTTATGTATGCCCATTTGGCTTTCTTTCATCAAGGATATGATCTATTTAGTGAACTTGGGCCCTACATGAAGGATCTTGGTGCACAGGTAATCTTGAATTTTACTCTTTGCTTTTGTATTATATATGAATCTTTGCTTTTTTAAAAAAATAGAATTAAGTATATTTGGAAGTTTAATATTTCACTTACTTAATGAAGAACTTTGGTTCCCTTCCAAATATGTGGATGGTTTAAATATTTAACAAAAAAATGAAATTGAAAAGAAAAAGTTAACTATATTATATGTTGTTGTTGTTATGTGCCTTCGAGTCGCTTGCGACTCATAGCGACTCTATGTACAACAGCCCTAAACTCTGCTCTGTCCTGTGCCAATCGCACTGTCTCTGACACTTCTATCCTGATTATCCCAGTCACTGAATCAATCCACCTCATAGAGGGCCTTCCCCTCCTGTGCTGTCTGTCTACCCTTCCAAGCATGATGTCCTTCTCCAAGGACCGGTTTCTCCTCACAACATGTCCAAAGTATATTAGACAGAGCCTCAGAATCCTTGCCTCCAAGGAGCCACCCGGTTTAACCCTTTCCAGGACAAATCTGTTTGTTTTCCTAGCAGTCCATGGTACCCTCAATACTCTTCTCCAGCACCACAGCTCAAAGGCGTCAATTCTCCTTCTGTCCTCCTTGGTCATTGTCCAACTCTCTGATGCATAGCAAGTGATTGCAAAGACCATGGTCTGTATCAGAAGCACCTTAGTCTCCAGAGACACACCGTTCCTCTTGAGTACTTTAGAGAGGTCCCTAACAGCTGACTTTCCCATGGCAATGCACCTTTTAATTTCCTGTCTGCTGGTGCCAAGACTGTTGACTATGGAGCCAAGCAAACTAAAGCTGTGTACAATCTCAGTCTCTTCACCATCCATCCTGATGCTGCCAATTGGTCCAGTGGTGAGAATCTTTGTCTTCTTGACATTGAGCCTCAATCCATATTGTAGGCTGCAGTCCTTGACCCTCTGCAGCAGGTGCTTCAGGTCCTCTTCAGTTTAAGCAAGCTGGGTTGTGTCATCTGCATAACGCAGATTATAGATAATAAGACTATTAAAGATAAAAATTTAAAAATAAAGGCTCTTTTATAATAATAGAGCTAGATTTATTTTTAACTTTTTACGTTTGAATAATTTAGTTAATGCCCTAATTGATTTTGCATTTGAGTTTTGTTGAAAAAATCTGTTTGAAAATTTACATATATTAATGTTAGAATTTTTTTTTTTAGATTATATAAGTCCTGGCAGCTTGTGTGTGTATGTGTTTATAAAAAGATTGTGTATAAGAATTTCATTATTTTCAAAATAATTTTGATAATTTGATCAGTTCTTTGTATATTTTTTGGTACATTTGTCTTTTGCACTTTGGTGAGCTCTCAATATTTAAGAGTGTAAGTTTTGAGTTTATTTTCTTTTGCAAGCTAGTTCAGGCTACATGCTGAGGAGAGAGATTTAAGTTTGAAATCAGAATTTGGATAAATAAGAAAAAGATAAGAATGGAATGGAAATATTGGAGTCTCTGATTAGAGTTTATATATTTTGCAGTGGATTTGGGAAGGGTTTGTATTGAAGACATCTACTGTAAATTACAGGTGTGCTGCCACTGAACTCACCCTGTTAGAGTTAAGTCAGTAAATCATCAGACTATTAATCTCTTTGTCTTCTTTCTGTTCACTAAATTCCTTTATACTGTGACTAGATAGTTAGGTTTGTATGTAAGTGACAGAAAACTGAAGGTCAAAATAGCTTCAACAAGATACCTGTTTCTTATAAGATCAAAGTATGGTAGTTACTTGACCATCAGTGTCTCTGCTTATTGTATCTTTTGTTTATATCTGATGATTAATTTTGATTGCTCAGGATTTGATATCTAAATTCCAGCTAATAGGAAGGGGGAAAAGGGGGACAGTACATATTTCCTTCCAGTGAGGACTTTTCTTTGAATTTGTACATAGCGCTTCAATTCTAGTTACATGGTTACATTATCTGCAATAAAAACTATAAAATATTTGATGACCAGGTCATTTTGTAACTGCCTAGATTCTGAGTATCTTATTTTTAAGATATGAGGAGCTAATAAATACTGGGGACATTTATCTAGCAATCTTTCCTATATAGGGTATATTTGAGGTGAAGTTCAAGTGGATTCAAAAGAATCCATGGAATAAGTGATGTCATTGCTGACACTAGATGGATCTTGACTGAAAGAAGAGAATACCAGAAAGATGTTAAGCTGTGTTTCATTGGCTATGAAGAGGCATTTAACTATTTGGATTATAATACATTCTAAATAGCATTGAGAAGAATGGAAATTACAGAATATTTAATTGTGCACATGTAGCACTTGTCCATAGACCACGAAGCATTGTTCAACAGAATATGGGATATTGCATGATTTAAAATCAGGGAAGATGTACATCATGGTTCTATTCTTTCTCCATACCTATTTAATTTGTATACGGAGTGAATAATCTGAGAAACTCGACTATATGAAGAGGGATGTGGCATCAAGATTGGAAAGAGACTGAACAGCCTGTGTTATATAGATGACACAGCCATGCTTGCTGAAAATTAAGAAGACTTGAGGTATTTCTGATAAAGGTTGAAGACTGTAGTCTTCAGTATGGAATAGGCAAGATCATGAATAGATGGAGAACGGATTGAAGTTCCTGCTGATTTCATTTTACTTGGATTCACAATCAGTACCTATGAAAGCAGCAGTCAGGGAAGCAAAAGACCTAATACATTGGGCAAATTTGTTTCCAAGGATCTCTCTACAGGGCTAAAAAGAAATGATGTCACTTTTAAGACTGAAGCCACAGTGTTTTAAGTTGCTTCATAAACATGTTAAATCTGGATAATAAGTAAAGAATACCTAGAATAATGGATTCCTTTGAATTATGGTGTTCATGAAGAATATTGAGTAGACCAAACGCTGCCAAAAAGCTATCAAATCGGTCACAGAAAGGGGGTGGACAGACTGTTCCTTAGAAGCAAGGATGAGAGGGCTTTGTCTCTTACCCTTGGAACATGTTTTCAGGAGGGGCCTGTCCTTGAAAAAAAAATTATGCTGAAAACAGAGTGTCTGTGAAGGAAAGGAAAATCCTAAATGAGATGGGCTGACACAGTGAGCTGTAGCAGTGAGCTTGATTGAGCACAGCAGAGGGTGGAAGGATCAGGTTCCCACCTATTTTTCTATTTTACATAGGATCATGCTGAGTTGGAAACAGTTTGATGGCAGCAATGGCATTATAGATAGAACTTTGAACCCAAACTTGGGGGAAGGCAAGATCATTCTAAGCTGTAGGCTCTTCCCATTCTATCAAATCCTAGACTATAACCCACATCTCAGTTATTACATACAAAACAATGTCAGATGAATCAAAACTCACCTAATTAACTTTTTGTATATTTTTATTATAGTTTTTTTTTTTACATTTATTCCCCAGATCCTAAATGATTTTATAGGTGCTTAGAAAAGCTTCTAAGCTCCAATATGAGAAGAATGTCAGCTATGGGTCCCTTCTGACTCAGTGGTACACAACAATAGTAATAATTTATATTATGACATTATGTAGATGCTGTGCAGAGCACCTTAGAGGAAAACTGAGATGTGAAGGATAGAGGAGGATTAGCTAACTCTGCTTATGTGGTGCATAAAATTCTAAGTGACCAGGAACCAATATCACATGTTGTTGTTATGTGCCGTCGAGTCGTTTGTGACTCATAGCGACCCTATGTACAACAGCCCTAAACCCTGTTCTATCCTGTGCCAATCGCATTGCCTCTGACACACCCATCCCGATTACCCCAGTCACTGAATCAATCCACCTCATAGAGGGTCTTCCCCTCCTGCGCTGTCCCTCTACTCGACCCAGCATGATGTCCCTCTCCAAAGACCTGTCTCTCCTTGCAACATGTCCAAAGTATGTCAGACGAAGCCCCAGAATCCTTGCCTCCAAGGAGTAGCCTGTTTTAACCCTCTCCAGGATGAATCTGTTTGTTTTCTTGGCAGTCCATGGTACATTTAATACTCTTCTCCAGCACCACAGCTCAAAGGCGTCAGTTCTCCTTCTGTCCTCCCTAGTCATTGTCCAGCTCTCTGATGCCTAACAAGTGATTGCAAAGACCATGGCCTGTATCAGGCTTCATCTCTAGAGAGGTCCCTAACAGCAGACTTTCCCATCGCAATACGTTTTTTGATTTCCTGGCTGCTGGTGCCAAGAGTGTTGACTGTGGATATGAGCAAACTGAAGCTGTGGACAATCTCAATCTCTTCGCCATCCATCCTGATGCTACCAATTGGTCCAGTGGTGAGAATCTTTGTCTTCTTGACATTGAGCTTCTTGACCCTCTGCAGTAAGTGCATGAGGTCCTCCTCAGTTGCAGCGAGCAAGGTTATGTCATCTGCATAACACAGATTGTTGATAGATCTTCCACCAATCCTAACGCCACGCTTCTCCTCATAGAGCCCAGCCTCTCGGATAATCTGCTCTGCATACAGATTGAAAAGGTATGGAGATAGGACACATCCCTGGCGTACACCCTTCCCAATTTTGAACCATTCAGTGTTGCCCTGCTCTGTTCTGATGATTGCCTCTTGGTCCAAGTATAGTTTTGCATTAGCACGATTAAATGTTCTGGGATTCCCATTCTTCTCAGAGTCAGCCACAGTTTGTTATGATCCATGCAGTCAAATGCCTTTGCATAATCAATGAAACAGAGATAGACATTCTTGTGGTATTGTTTGCTTTCAGCTAAGATCCATCTAACTTCAGCTACAATATCCCTAGTGCCATGACCCCTTCTAAACCCAGCCTGGATTTCTGGTAGTTCTCTGCTGATGTACTCTTCCAGTCGTCTTTGGATAATCTTCAGTAGAATCTTTCTTGCATGTGAAATCAGTGCTATTGTTCTGTAGTTTTCACACTCAGTTGGGTCACCCTTCTTTGGAATGGGAGCAAATATCACATATTTTAAGAAATATTGTCTTTTATTTTCATTAGAAACCACTAGTCTCAAGTTTTAACAGTATTTTGATGGCAAATACAATTTACTAATAGTTGAATCTGACTTTACTTAAAATGTGGAGTTAGTAGTTTCATAGTTCCATAACTTGCAATTAACTAATTTAAAAGTAGTTTTGCAGAAAAAAATATGTTTCAAATATTGAAAAAATCAAATAAATGAAGGACTCAAATATATTTATTAGGCTTAGCAGCAAGGAAACCATTTGTAACATATATTGGGATTCCTATCTGAGTAGACTGTGGGCAGAGGGCAGAAGCCGAATTAGAGTGGGTAGATTAGTAAGAAATGGACTAGCCAAAACTGGGGGTTGCGGGGGGAGAGAGAAGTATCTAGAGAAGAATACTAGTTGAACAATGTAAAAATAGCTGGTTCAGGCCATCTCAAGAGGGAGAAGTTGAAAAAGTGGAAGAGAGACAATGACATCTGAGATGGTAGGGGGATTGGGAACTAGAACACAGGTGGAAGGGAGTTACAAGGTGAACTACCTAGTTACAGGAGCCTGTTAAATTCATAATGTGCACTACCAGCACAAACATGGTGTGTTCCAGGCTCTGCCTGATGCAGTTCTTGGTATTTAGAAGATTGTCCTGTTTTCTAACAGTCGTCAGATCTCTTCACCTCACTCATCTCCCAATTCCCTAGTGTGTTTACATATATAGGTTTCTTTGTATTCCTGCTCCACCAGAGAGGAAAATTTCCATTTCTACTCTAATAGCAGGAGCCATAGATAGATAGATAGATAGATATAGTCAGTTCAGATTCAGCAGCATACAACAATAACAATCACTGCATTAGCATTGGGATGGGGTTACAACAGAGGAATTTACTAGTAATTTGATAGATAGAATATCATTACATGGGTTACTGTACTCATGTGTAAGGTAGAAATGTGAGATATAAGTATTAATTTTTTTCCTTGAGGGCTACCTTGTCACTTCAGTCTGAATAAATAAATATATTTTTATTGCTTTCATTTAGCAGCTCTAAAAACTGTGGTATAATGTATATATGATATTTATTCCATTGATTCTATGTAAGCAGTTACTGATTGAGAATATAGATTTTTCTGGTAAAGCATTATCCACTAAATCAATGTTACATGTCACTAACCTATGTATGTATGTATTAGATCTTGAAGTACTTGCCATCTGCAGTGTTAGCTTAAAAATTGGCCTTTCTAGTCATTATGTTAACCCTTGCTGATCTCCAGCTATCATAACTGTAAGCATACAGTCTTGCAAATCATCAACAGCTGTGGGACTAGAATAAGAGAGAGAGTGCTTCCCACACTGAGCAACAAGACTTGAGGGAGGTTGGAGTGAGACCCTGGTGAGGATGAGACCCCGGTGAGAGCAAGAACCCAGTGAGGGCAAGACCCTGGTGATGGTGGTGGAAAGACTGTGGCAAGATGTAACCAGAGGAGCCCTGAGATAAAGGCCACAGTTCAAAGTTTTTCTGTTCTTGCCAAATGATGGAAGGTAAAGCTGACTACTGAACTGAAACCAGCGCCTGAACTAATTGAGGAATTGTGCATTGGGACTGCCGGGCTAAAACCTGGACTTATATTGAGTGATATTCTTTGCCTCCCCCACTCTTCAACATACTGCCCTAATAAACCTCATCCTCGGTACCACAACTGTGAGTAAAGTCTGTGAGCCAGCAATGAATATTGGACCTGAATGATTGGTAGATATAGGTGCAGGAACATAAGGGTTGCTGTGTCTGACCAAGCAGATACCTATTTGCTGCTGTGGATATTATTGGTAAGGACAGTTACCTTTTATGAAGCAGATAAAGGTTAGACTTGGTGAGCCCCACGTAGTTACATCTGTTCCTTTCATATCATCTAAGCTTAATTCTTGATAATTATAATAGTGATAGTTCTGTTTGACTCTAGTATTTTGTTTCTTTACTGCTGCTCATTAAATTAAGATTCTGTGACCAGAGCTATTTACCTGAAGGGAAAAAAAGATATAATACAGTTTTTAAAGGAATGATGTGATTATGCAATGATGTGATTATGCATCTATCAGTAAATATCACAAATTATTTTAATTGGAAATTACTTGGACATTTGTTTTTCCATATTCCTGCTGATATTTGCTTTTCTAAAAATTCATTTATCAGGTACATACTAATCAGATGTAATGGGAGTATAAAGATATAAATAAGACATATATCACAGCATAGTAGATTAGCCCAAATGGTTATTATTCCAGTAAATAGGGGTTAAGGAACCTGATGCCTTTCTCATTATATAGTACATCATCAAATACTATTTCCCTGATGGAAACAAAGTAGTCTTTTCTGAAGGAACAAATAAGGAAAGAGGAATTTTAAAATTTCATTAATTCTTAGGCTTTTAAATCAAACTCTCAATTTTATACCTTGTTTGTATGAATGGGCTTTATTATTATTATTATTATTGCTATTGCATTGTCCTATCTCCATACCTTTCCAGTCTATATGCTTGGAGGCTGACTTCTGTTAGGAGAAATGTAACATCAGGATTGGAGGTAGACTTATCAACACTCTGTGTTATGCAGATGACACAACCCTTGCTTGCTGAAATTTAGGAGGACTTTAAGTGCTTGCTGCAGAAGGTTAAGGACTGTAGCCTTCAATATGGATTGAAGCTCAATATCAAGAAAACAAAGATTCTCACCACTGGGCCAATTGGCAGCATCATGATGGATGGTGATGAGATTGAGATTGTTCACAGCTTTAGTTTGGCCCTACAATCGACACTCTTGGTACCAGAAGCCAAGAAATAAAAAGATGAATTACCTTGGGAAAGTCTGCTGTCAGAGACCTCTCCAAAGTACTGAAGAGCAACAGTGTCAGTCTAGAGACTAAGGTGCACCTGATGCAGGCCATGGTCTTTGCAATTACTTACCATGCATTGGAAAGCTGGACAATGACTAGAGATGATACAACGAGAACTGATGCTTTTGAGCTGTGGTGCTGGAGAAGATTATTGAATATACCATGGACTGCTAGAACAAACAAGTTCATCCTACAGAGGGTGAGACCAGGATACTCCTTGGAGTTTGCTCCTTGGACACAGGGGTTCTGAAGCTTCGTCTGCCATACTTTGGACATGTTGACCAGTCCTTGGAGAGGGATATCATGCTTGGGAGGATGGAGGGACAGTGAAAGAGAGGAAGACCTTCAATGAGATGAATTGATTCAGTGACTGGAGTAATGGGGGTAGGTGTGTCAGAGACAATAAGATTGGCACAGGATAAAGCAGGGTTTAGGGCTGTTGTACATAGGGCCAACCATGAGTTACAGGGAACTTGATGGCACATAACAACAAGCAACAACAATTATTATTTACTATTATTGCTTTGGTTTTTCTTTTTATCTAGTGAGTTAAATTTTATTTTAACATTAGTGAGCCAACTGGAAAACATACAACAGTTGATTTATTGAAAGTCTCTGTTACGGTCAACTAGTGAGAGCTGGCCACATTGACATAGTTGCTCCTTTTTGCTAGTTGAGGGATGAAGGAAATCACCAGTATCTCTTCTTTCTGTATGTGATTATTGTGACTGCCAGAATTTGTTGGATGGATCAGCAGGTAACTTAAGCTAAAGCAGTTTTCCTTAGTCAGGGATTGAACATGCCCTCATTGTGACACATGTTTGAAAAGACCTCCTGCTGCATGTGCTGGCATGTGACTATACTTGGAAAGGTTTTCCTTGGCAGAGATACTTTTGTATATTGAATTTGATACCAGGAAAATATCATTGTCTACTTTAAAGTGTAATCAAAATGTCTTTCAGAGTCAACTCATCCGGACTGCCCTCTTGCTAAGTTTATGTGTTAAATGATTTGTGAATATATATTTTTAAATCATGGATTTTTATTTTGACTTTTATGTCTGTCCATTCCCTCACCCTTTTTATATAGTTGGATCGACTGGTTGTGGATGCAGCAAAGGAGAAAAGAGAGATGGAGCAAAAACATTCCACCATTCAACAAAAGGTATCTGAAGGGGAGAGTTCAGGAGATTAATCCTCCTTTTACACAAATGTTTGAGTATTGATTTGGCAATGTACATTGTATTGGAACAAATCCTTTATGACTTGCTTTACTAGTTGTGTAAAAAATTCATCCTCTGTGAAAATATTTTTTCAGACATTAAAGTATGCATTGTATTACTCTTTCAGAACAAATGTATTTGAAAGTTGAGCTCTAGTTAAAGGTGAACCCTTAGTTAGAACTTAAAATATTACCCTTAGTTTCCATTAAGATGCCACCAGTCCTTGTGTGTGCACGCTGTGCCAATGTGTGTGTGTGTGCACGCGCACGCGTGTGCTGTGCATGTATGCACGTCAGGGTCAATGTATGGTTTTGATCTTAGAGGTGCTATAGTTAGTTACACTAAGGCTCTCTCTTGCCTCCTATGTGATGCTGAAACCTCATATTTCTGGTTGATTCATCTAAACCGAGATCAACTAATATTTTAAATATGCTTGTAAAAATGAGAACTTAAATTTTAGACTAGCTTTTATATTTGCATGATAAAAGATTTGAGGAAGATACACCTGAGACTCAGCCTAATAATATTTTCTCATATATGATCAGTGTCCTGGCACTGCTTTAAGGAATTCTTTTTTTCTTAGTATTGTCATAACTATTTAGAATTTAAAATTACAATAACCTAAGTATTTTATAGATATATCAGTGAAAATAATGAAAGAGAAACCAGTAATAAAAGTATGAGCACTTTTATTTTGTGGTGAGTTATTTAATGCTCAAGGAGAAAGGTGTTTAAAAAAGAGAAGATATGCCATTTGACCATCTTTTAAATGACCTTAACCCTGGATTTTCTGTAAGTGAAGTTCCTTTCACTTCTGTTTATATAATTTACTTTAATGACATTGACCTTAAAGGATTGTTAAAATTTGAGGCTAGTCATTCATAATTTAGATGAAAGATCTTATTTATTTATTGATAGTTGAAATTTATAATATGCATCCTTTAAACAAAAAAAAATCTGTACACATGAAGGATTGATGGGTTATTAAATCTTAAATTAACTTCTCTGACTTTGAACTTACCTAACTGCTTTTCTTTAAAGAAGTTAATGCTGTTTTTGCTCATTTTGAATATTTGTCATTTTTCTGCCCTTAAATGCTGGCACAGGCTGCATTACAGGTAAAACCTGTCCTCTAACAAGGGGAAATGTCTAATGTAGTTATTTGAGTTGTTCAGGAATTTCTGAAAATGTTGAAATATTGTTAAGAACATTTCTCTTTTTGGTGACTTGAGTGAAAGTTTATGGAGTAAACCGATTTTCCATTCAATAATTCATATACACTGTGTTTAATGACATTGATTGCCATCCGTGTTTTCATTTTCACTCATGCTTCTTTCTTATCCATTTTTGGCTTTTGAATTTTTTTTCCTGGACAAAGGCTACCCTTTTAAACATGGACACTTAGTTCTGAAGAGTGTATGCCTCTCCAGTGTGACTCTTCACCTTCTATACTTGTTTATTGCTTTACTGAAAGTGGAGCCATGGATGATTTCAGATCTAGGCTTAAGGGGTGAATAAGGACCATAGTATGTTATGAACATCATTATACAGGCCTAATTTGGAAATATTTCCGGTTTGGCTCTAGACCACCACAATAAGGTGAATTGGGTAGTAAAGCAAGGCAGAGGAATTTTTTAGTTTCCCAGTATGTGACAGTGTTATGTTTATGTTAATATATACTGTACATAGTCTATTAAGTTTTCAGTGGTAGCAAGAAACATTTTCAAATATTATGAGAATTACAAAGATGTGACAGTGAGACATGAAGTGAGCACATATTGCTGGAAAAATGGCACCAGTAGGACCTGCTCATTACAGGGTTTCCCCCAAACATCTACTGTTAAAACTCCAATATCAGCAAAGCATAATTTGAAAAGGAAGCTCAGTGAAATGAAGTATACGTTTTGGGATATGTGCACACAACTGCTGAGTTGGCAAGGTTCAACATGAATAGGTAGCACTAAATTGTTCTCATTGTGTTAGACCATACTTGGCAGCATTATGTCAGAATTTCTGCTGCTTGTTGCATTATCTGTTGTATTTTGTTGTTGTTGTCCTGTGCTGTTGAGTCACTTGCGACTCATAGCGACCCTATGTACAACAGCCCTAAACTCTGCTCTGTCCTGTGCCAGTTGCACTGTCTCTGATACAGCTATCCCAATTACCCCAGTCACTGAATCAATCCACCTCATAGAGGGCCTTCCTCTCCTCCGCTGTCCCTGCACCCTTCCAAGCGTGATGTCCCTCTCCAAGGACCTCCTTACAACATGCCCAAAGTATGTTAGACGGAGCCTCAGAATCCTTGCCTCCAAGGAGCATTCCGCTTTAACCTTTTCCAGGATGAATCTGTTTGTTTTCCTAGCAGTCCATGGTACCCTCAATACTCTTCTCCAGCACCACAGGGCAAAGGCATCAATTCTCCTTCTATCCTCCTTAGTCATTGTCCAACTCTCTGATGCATAACAAGTGCTTTTTAATTTTGCCAGAGTGGTAACTGTATACTAATATTTCATTGTGGCTTAATTCATACTTAATAACTCATGAGGTTGAGTACCAATTCCTATGCATATTGGTTATTTGGATGTCTTCTTGTGAAATTTGTTAGTCATTGCCCATTTCTCAATAAGGTTACCTAACTGTGGTCAGATTCTTCCTGTATTCTGAATGTAAGGCTTTTTAGGGATATGTGTCTTCAAGGGAGGTCTTGTGTTCTTATTTTGTCTTCTCCAGTTCTGTGACTTCTCATAATCCATCAGATCAAGTTGTTGAATAATTGGAAATCTTCACGTATTCACATATTTATGAATAGTGCTCTTTTGTGTGTGTTTTGTTTAAGAAATCCCTCCAAATCTTAAGATCATGATGATGTCTTATGTAGTATCTGCTAAGTATTTATACCTTTGTTTTTTAAGTTTAGAACTTTTGTCTGTTTGTACTTTTCTTGTGAAAAGAGAAGAAGCTTCCTTTCTTATTGGTAGCCAGCTGATTCATACTTAATTATTAGAAGTTTACTTTTTCCTCATTTCTCTGCAGTGTTTTGTCTGTTACATTTCACATTTTCATACTTGTGTGGTGTACTTCAAGTTTTTTCCTTCTGTTCCATCAGCCGTTGTGTCAAATTGTGCCATGCTATGTTGTCTTAATTATTTTAGATTTAGACTCTCATGTCTGATAAATCAAAGCCCCTTTGTTACTCAAAAGTGACTTTGTGTAGTTGGCATTTTGAATTTACATGTTAAGTTTCAGGAGCAGCTTTTCAGTTTCCATAAAAATAGCTTTTGGTATTTTGGTTGAGATTGTATTAGGTTTGTGAGTCAATTTGGGAAAGAATTGAAAAAATGTTTTATTATGCCGTTTAATCTATAGGCTTAGTATACTTCTCCATTTATTTATGCCTTTATAATTTTCTTGAATAATAATTTTAGGGGTCTTCCTAACCTATTGTAAATATCATCTTGAAAAATATTTTTATTGTTTGTTTTGTTACATAACAAATTGAATAAAACGTTATGTTTCTGTAATGGTTTTATAACTAATGACATAGATGAAAGGGAGCACAGTAACATGCTAGGCTGGCTGTTAACCAAAAGATCAGTAATTTGAGGCCCACCCCCCCATATATTGTGTGAGAGAAAGATGTGGCAGTCAGTTTCCAAAAGATTATAGCCTGCAATACCTGATGGAGTAGTTCTGTTACAGTCTGTTGCTTTGGGTGAGAATCTACTTGATGGCAGTGGACATAATGTTGCCGAACTGTTTTTTTAATACTAATTTATTTCTGTATTTTTTTGACCATCTGTTGACACAGTTGTATTATCTGTAAATGATAACAGTTTTGTCTCTTCCTTATCCTTTACCTTTTTGTTTTCTTACTAACTAGGAACTTGAACTTGAATGGAAGTGGTGTGGTAATAATGGACCTTCTGGCTTGTTTATAATTTTAAAGGGAACGTTTTATTAGGTTCTTGTCCAACCTTGACCAACCTTGATTTTGCCTTCTCTTCTCTGGGTGTCACACCAAAGTTCAAGTTCATTTGTTGAGGCAAATGCCCTGAAGGTGAAATCTGGCTTCAGTGCTTTTTTGGCTGTCTAAGGCTTCCCAGTTTCATTTACCCCTTTGAGGCAAGCTCTGGTGGCCTAGTGGCAAGAAGGTGTACTGTAATCCCAGAGGTGTACAGTTCAAATCCACCAGATGCTCTGCTGGAGAAGGAGGAATAATCTCCTCCTGTACCAGTCAGATCTGATTTGACGGTGTACACACACACACACACACACACACACACACACACACAAAATTAAAAAACAAAACACATTTACCCCTTTGATTTTGAGTATTCTTTTCTGATTTATCAGATTACTAATGAGTTTAATGTGATAACAACTATATATTTTATCCAGCATTTATTAGTTACTTTAATTATAAAATAATGTAATTTATCATTAAGTGTTATAAAATAATAATTTATACAAATATTAAATTGGAGATTATTCATCTAAAGAATTATATATCAAAAAACTGCAAAATATTTGCAATGCATAGCACTCTTGAGAATGTATTATTTTATGTTTTAGTGGCAGTAAAATTATTTTAAAAATTGCTGATATGATTAATGAAACCTTTATAATGATGCCAAACTAAATTATATCTGTGGATAATTTAATTATGTCTGAATAATTACATTATAACTTAAAAATAAATTTTAAATTAAGATGTTAAAGTTTTTTATTTTTTTTCTCTAAGAAAAGAATGTATTCATTTACAGAATCTAATTCATTTGATTATTTTCAATTAACATGTATTTTCTGTGGTTAACTTTTGGAAGATGTCAGTACCTTTAAAAAGTTGTGAACTTAGATTATTTCTTATTTCTATCTTAATAGATTCCTAGTTTTGGGAGGCTTTAGGTGACCTCATTCCACCCTTCCTCTAATATAACACCTCACACCCCAGCATTTTTAGCAGGCTTCCATGCAACATCTGCCAAAGTATTTCTTATGACAGGATGTCCACTATCCTCTTGTCCATTCTAATTTTGATCATTGCTGTAAGAGTGATTTTGAAATTTCTCAGACTTTTAAAAGTTTTTTAAAAAAATACCAGTTTTATTTCAGTTATTTTGTAAATAAATAGTTTAAATAAAAGATTATTGATTTTTTTTAAAAAAATTATTTTATTTTATTAATTTTAATGATTTTCAAGGACCATGAATTCTTTTAGGCAAATTGAAAGTTTGAATTGCGTGGGATAGACAGTAGAGAAAGACTGAGTGAGTATGAGATCTCATAAACACATAATCACTACATGCCTAACTCAAATTATGGACTAGAGTTCTTCTTTGCAGAACTGTTCTGTTTTAGGGGGGAAACATTCACTGTTGAGTCTTTATCCAATTTGTGAACTCAGTTTTGCTCCAGACCATGGAGTTATTAATCCTACCAGCTCAAATTGTTATTACGGTAGTAATAGGATCATTGGTGGCATAGTGGTGACATGATCAGCAGTTCAAATCCACCAGGTGCTCCTCAGCAGACATGTGGTGTCTCCTCCTATTAAGATTTCTCCTGTGAGAATCTGATGGTCACTCTCATAGTAATAAATTCAGAAAATATTTGCAGATTTTAATAATCCCAATTAAATATAACTATAGGTCCTTTCAAGGAGCTCTTAGTGGTGTAGTGGTTAAGCAGTTGCTTGTTCACAAGAAGTTTGGCTGTTTCAAACCCACCGTGGGTGAAAGATGGGACAGCTTGCTTCTGTAAATGCTACAGCCTTGCAAACCCTGTAGGACAATTCTACTATGAACTGTAGGGTCTACTGTGATTCTGAATCAACTTGACAGCTGTTGGGTGGTTGTTGGTATACACTCTTTTGGAAGTCTCTGGGTATTGTAAACCACAGCTGACAGAAAGACTTTAAGTTAAGTTTATGTTCACCCAGGCACCAGGATGCTCTGGCAGTTTGCTGTTTGGATACAAGCAGCCACTAACAATGGAACAGGGCACAGTCTCCCCTGACACACATAGGGTCCTCCTGAGGCAGAACTGACTCAGTGGCAGCGTTATTTTTTTTAAGTGCCTTTCAAAATTTAGCACACACTAACACTTACAAAAGGAAACATTTATAAACAGCATGGTGTTTATTCTCTGTGGTGGCACAATAATTAATAGTTTGATCACGAAGTGAAAGGTTAGCAGTTTGAACTCACCGGTTGATCCTTTGGAGAAGGATGTGGTAAAGCTCACATCTGGGAACACTTCCAGACCTGGAAACCTTGTAGGTGGTGCTACTCTGTTGTAGGGGATCACTGTGAGTTACAGTTGACTGACTCCACAGGAGATTTTTGTCTTTTTCTATGTGTATAACTTTGTGGCTTTAAGCAGATTGTATATGCAGTGTTTACATTATTTTCTCATTTAAAATGTATTTTAATTAATCTTTTATGCTTTTGTGTCATGATAATCTAATAGTAAAAAAATTAAAATATGTTAATATGTTGGCGAATTCTTCAATTACTGAGCATTTTGATCTCTGCCCTTTATTATGAATAATGTCATAGCTTTTAATACAAAGTGGTTTTTCTTTTGAGTTATGTCTGTAGGATACATGTATTGGTGAGGAAAATTAAGTCAAATCATGTGAATGTTTCTATATGTTATTTCATCTAGGATTTCTCCAGTGATGATTCTAAGTTAGAATATAATGTAGATGCTGCAAATGGCATTGTTATGGAAGGATATCTCTTCAAACGAGCCAGCAATGCCTTCAAAACTTGGAACAGGTAATATTTTTCATATACTAGTTTTGAGACTAAGTCCAAAGTTTTCTGACTTTGCCTGATTTTTTCACTCTTTCCTTCATAATCTTCTATATTCTCAATTGATAGTACTTTCATCCCCCTCATCCACTGAAGATGCCTTTCTTTCTCTTAGAAGAGAGTAAAAGATGACAACACTAGTTCTAAAGCCTAAAAGTTGAGCAAAGTTTAGGTGAGAAAGCCAGTAAAAATTTCTGTAATGCTTCATTGTATATAACAAACTCATTACAATAAATACATGTATGTGATTCATCTCCCATATTTGTTCTAAAATAGTTTTGATTGTAAATCATATAATCAATATAAGGGATAAATAGAAAAAATGGGTGTTTTCTGTTCTTTCTTTTTAGCTCTTTCACTGTCTAGTATGTCTACATTCGTTTACTTAGTTTGAACTTTAGTGAGTAATCCTGATCTTTTGAACTTGGCAATAACTGCAATTAAGATATTTAGGAAATGGAATTATAAAGTGCATGATTACTTGATACTCATTTATTCTACTCTTGTGGCAACTAGAAACTTTGGATTTTTTTTGCTCAAAGAATTTTTATAGAACATATGCATCCAGTAAATGTTTACTAAGTAAATAAATGCATTACATTTTTTTACTGTATTTTCTCTCTTTTAAATAAAATAAAGTGAAGTAATTTCAGAAATTAAGGCATGAAAAAGAAGATTGGGTTATATCAGGATAATCCTTGTTAATATCAGTGATTAATCTTTTATTCAGGGTTACCTTTTTTGTGGGGGAGAAGTGGTCAGGAGAATTTTTATACTACTTTGGCTTTGATTAATAGGTGTACTATTTTATATTGACTAGAATGCTTATATTTATTACTTAAACAGTATGAATTCACAGTGATAGAGAAGGTTAGGGTTTTAAAAATGGATATTAGCAAAAGAAACAATTTTTTGGTATGTTTAATTTAATATATATTCTTGTTAGTTTAAATGGGAATTACTCATGTTGCATTCAAGTGGTTTCCCTGTGTGCTTATTTTAGTTTCTTGATGGTAAGATCAGTATGGGGCAGGAATCCAGTTTGGAAGTTGTCTGCAGCAGCCAGATTCTACAGAGGCTTGTTTGCTGGTTCTGGGGAGGATTAGGGTAGAATATTGACTCACTAATGGGTGTGAGAGGATGTGATGCGGCCTCCTAATTAAAAACACCTTTGGGCCCTAGAGTCTGTGGCCCTCGGGCCTGATTTTAATTGTTTTTGGCCAAACATTCTTCTAAGTGGGATAGTACTGGTCTGTCCATTTGCTGTACAGAGGTAACTCATGTTTGCTGTGATGCTAAATACTGTGACACTGATGTGTCAAATGTGATAATGGTTACCCACAGTGGACAGTGTTTGGTGGAGCTTCCATAGTAAAACAAGCTTGGAAACAGGAGTGGCATCCAATTCCAAAATGGCTTGCCTCTGGAAACTCTTAAGAATGTGGAGAAACTCTTAAGAATGTGGAGAAACAACGAAAGATATACAAGTATTTAGGTCTTTCGTTCATAGGGTTGCTGTGAGTCGTCTATGACTCAACAGCACTTAACAGCAACAACAAACAACAAGATAAAGAATTTTAAAATGTCAGTGATTATTGATCATTATTTAGCATTCAATATTATTGTTATTGTTGAATGTTTAAAGTAGGCTAACATTTGCTATATTAGAAATAATTTTCCTTGTTCCAGAGTGAATATAGACTATAAAGAATAATTATTATATTTTACATCAAGCTTTTTTGAATTTTATAGAGCTTTCTTTTTTATATTACATGACTCCTAGAAGGATTTATTTATATGCTCTAATGAAATAGACATTGTCTTATATAAAAATGAGAAATTAAAAAAACTTTAAAAATCTCTCCTGGTAAAGTTCCCTAGTCAGAGTAGGAGGTTAAAGGGAAAAAATTGATTGGAGGTTAGCACTGGTGGCCTAGTGGCAAGAAACTGCGTTGCAATCCCAGAGGTGTGCTGTTCAAATCCACCAGATGCTTTGCTGGAGAAGGAGGAATAATCTCCTCCAGTACCAGTCAGATCCGATTTGATGGTACACACACACACACACACACACACACACACACACAAATAATAAAATTTAAAAAAATAAAAAAATAATTATTGGAAAAAGTGTGTGATTGGTAAATCCTTATAATAAATAATAATTATCTAGTCCGAAAGTCATGACATGGTCTTAGAGTTGAATTTTCACTTTCAGAACAACTTACTTAAAATTTAACGCATTGGAAATACAGTAAATCTGTAGGGATTGTACCATATATTAAGAACAAAGGAAATGAGCTTCCTTGCACTACTTCAGTGAGAGATGTTCCCAGACATCAGAATGAACCACAGTGATTGTTGGTGGGAAACTACATGGCCATTTAGGGCAATAGGAGAAAGTGAATGAATTTTGATTTAAGTAACATAATAATGGCAGTTTATCTATTGGCATAGATCCTAATATGCAACTAAAATCAATTTGTATGCTGAGCAAATAATTTGTGAAGCTGGACTTTATGGAGAGGAGTATAGCATCAGGATTGGAGGAAGACTCAACAACTTCAGTTATGCAGATGACACAACTTTGCTTGCTGAAAGTGAGGAGGTTATGAAATGCTTGCTGCAGAAAATCAAGGACTATAGCGTTCAGTATGGCTAACCTATCAACATCAAGAAGACAAAGATCCTTTCCACAGGTCCAAAAGGCAACATTACGATAGATGGAGAAAACATTGAAGCTGTCGGTGATGTCATCTTACCATCAGCACCCTTGATTCCAGCATTCAGGACATTAGGAGACATATTACATTGGACAGGTCTGCAGTTAGGGACCTTTCCAAAATACTGAAGAGCAGTGACATCAGTTTGAAAACTAAGGTGTGCCTGATTCAGGCCATGGTCTTCTTAGTCACCTGCCACTCATCAGAGAGCTGGATGGACAATGAATAAGTATATTAGAAGAAAATTGATGCCTTTGAGATGTGGTACTGGAGAAGGATACTGGATATCCTGTAGATTGCCGAAAGAACAGCAGATAAGTCCTGGAAAGGGTGCAGCCAGAGTACTCCTTGAGGCAAAGATGCAAAGCTTCATCTCTCATACTTCGGACATGTTGCTAGGTGAGGCTGTTTCTTGGAAAGGGACATCCTGTTTGGAAAGGAAGGCCCCTAGTGAAATAGATTGACACCGTGACTTCATCAGTGAATTCTATTGTTTCAGAGATGATGAGGATGGCACAGGATAGAGCAGGTTTCAGATTGGCTGATCATCGGGTTGCTATGAGTCATACATGACTCAGTGATACCTAGCAACAACAACAACAACAAAAATCAAGTAAGAAGTAACTTACGTTTTCAGTGTATAGAGTTGCGATACTATTTGGAAAATGAAAAGGACATAAGACTGCTTTTTAAATACTTTTTAAATATAAATCTATATATAGCAGAATGACAGTTAATTGATTAGGGTCAAAGATGATGAAAGTAAAGGATCTTGACAGTTTTAATTTTCAGCAAAGAAATCAATGAACAGAAAGATTATGTTACTCCTCTGATGTCACAGCTGGTTTTTTAATAATATTGGGACACCAAAGCGGAACACCTAGCTCTTCTTACTCAAACTCCTTTTAAGTGGATGGAGAAAGGAAAAATTTTTTTTTACATTTTAAAACTTGTTATTGAAGTTCCAGAATATTTGTATTTTAATAAAACATAACTTTAAAATACAACAAGAACTTTAATGTTTGAAAACCCTTTAATTTGCATTATTGGGAAAAGAGAACATGGATAGTCAATTTACTTTTCATCTACCTTTAAAGCAACTGATTAAAACACCTAGTGAAAATCAGAGTTCTTAAAAAAAAAAGCAGGAATAAAATGTTCAACAATGAAACAAAATTAATATTTTTTAAAAATATAAACTAAAGTTGAAACCTAACAATGTAAGTTTTTAAATCTAGGTTTTAGTGTAGTAACTGTGAGATTACTTTGTGTTAGGATCTTCTTGATTGAAATGTGGTTTGTTAAAAAAAAAAAAGAAATGTGGTTTGTTTTGCTTTTTTAAAAAGAAACTGTAAAAAGGAGAAGAAAATAATTATCTATAAAATGTTCTTTAGAATGCCCTGCTGATTTTTAATCTTAAAATGTGTACTATATTTAAGTTTTTTGCATAAGGTTTATAAAATACCTAATTCCAGATAAATCTGCAAATGATTTCTGTTTATTAGGCATTTTATTGTCTCCTCTTTGTCTATTTAGTTCTCTATCAGGCTTGATTTAAGATTTTCTCTTGGTGAAAGGTTGTGTATTTGTGATAGAGTTTGTGCCTTAACTTTAAGCATTCGATTTTTCACTTTAATATTTGAGGTTTTTACTTTTTTCAGTCTAGTAATTAATTGTTTTATTTTTTAGATTTCTTTTCTATTTGTTGTAGGGAATTTTTTATTACTGTAATTATTTTAAACGCTATAAAGAACCAAATATTTCACATTAGCCATTATCAATAATTTTATGTAATTATGCTGTGTACTGAAAAAATATCCCAGACTTTTAAAAAGTGCCTTCTTCCTGTGAAAAATGTGAATGTGTCAGAATTCCTAGAAAATTTTAAAACCATATCTTCATACTTTATAACTTACATTTTGAAAGCATTTTAATCTGAATTTTAACGTAATGTATAGTGTTATAGATATGTTTGCAGTAGCATAAGAAATAAAAGTTTTGCGCTTGTTTCTGATTGCTTTAAGATTCTCACTTTGCACTTTCTGTTAAGATTTTATCCATATATAATGTGTGTTTTTCTACAGGCACATCAAAATCTATCAAAATAATCATAATCAGGTCACCTTCTTGGTGTAGTCGCTGCATGTTAGGTTCTAATCAGTGCCTAGTGGATTGCTAGAAACCTGTATTTCCCTTTTGGTTTTGCAATTTTAGAAAAGATGAAAAAATTTTAAAAAAGTGAATGTTACTATCACTTACTTGATAATAAACTGGTAAAATTGGCAGAAAAGCTAAATTATTATTGTCATTGTTGAAAGGGAAAATATATTATCACAAGTAGTTTTTAAAAGAAGATAGTCCTAGGTGCTGCTAATATAGATACAAATATTGGACATGTTATTTGCTTTTCTTCTTAAGTTTAGTATACACACAGATTAATGAATATGATTAATGAATAAAGTTAGTGGTTACATAGATTAAAGAGAATTCATTAAAGAGGATTAGACATTACATGTGACCACAGAATTTTTCATCTGTCATTTGGTGTAAAAGGATGGGATGATAGGTTTATTTGGCCAGTGATATTGCATAATATCTTATGTACCCCCAGTTTCCTTATGAAAATTTTTATTTGTCTCTAGTGTATATAGATGTGCCCATAGTGATAATTTCCCTTAATTTTTTAGGAGCAGCTTATTAAGATGAGGAGAGTTACAATCTATATTTTATAGCCATGACCATAGAGGCAGAAAATAATAGTAGAGGTATGCCCAAGTGTGCTCTAACTTTCCATTATGTTCTGCGGCATGATTCCTGAAGACTATATGTGAATATTTTTTAAAAATTAGTGTTTCAGATTACTAAGAGTTAAAATTAATTGTATAAATGCATACTTACTTGATACATAAACAAAATCCGCAGGTAGTTGGATATTTTGTTAGGTTGTGGACTTTAGCTTATTCTTTTAATTCTTGTTTTATTTTTGTATCATGCTAGCCCTTTGCTTATTTTGCACATTTGCATTTTCATTCTTTTACCGCCTTTCCCTTATGTTTTAATCCTGCCCCATTTTTTCACATGACAGGAAAAAGCCCGATCATATCAGGTACCAAATGGCTTCTTTTCCCTGACTCCCTACCCTATTCCAATTTTCTCTTTGGCACGAAAAAGCTCATAATTAATCTGCATTTCAGTTGGATTACTTGCAATGGATGAAAGTCTCTCTAGGTTTTTAATTGGGAAGAAAATGTAAACATTATGTTTGAAGAGTGACATACCTTTTTAATTGCCCGGCTCCTAATTTTGTTTTCAATCAAAGTTAACAAACATCTATAATCACTCAGAGAAGATACAGTGAAGCAACGTGAAAACTTTGAGATCTTTATAAAGATTAAATCAACTAATAAATTGAAAACATCCTTAAATTATAATTTCCAGAAAAAGAAGCATATTCGTTACATTGAAAAGAAACATTATCAGTTCTGAAATTGTTTTACCATTTTCCTTTTTTATCCTTTGAGGAAATAAATTTGAAATAAAGTAACATACAATTTTGAGCATATGGTTTTGTTGAATATTTACCCTATGGGACACTGTGGGGAATGTGCACGAAACCCTCATCTTGTATAAGTTTAGTGATTTTTTTTTTAATTGTAGAGATTACTAAATGTTAGGCCAGCATTTTTATTCTATAAAAGTTATTTTTATAATAAAACATTTCTTGTTTTTCTTAAGAAAGCAAGAACTTGTCCTTTTTAGAAAATTGGCTTGTATTTTGGATTTGTAAAGGTCAGGTGGCTTAGTGGCAAGAAGCTGCACTGCAATCCTGAAGGGATGCTGTTCGAGGCCACCAGATGCCCTCTGGGAGAAAGATGGCCAGTCTCCTCCTGTGTGCTTAACTGCCTCTGAAAACCCGCTGGAGGGTCAGCTATGGGTTGGTTCCGACTCTATGGTACACAACAACAACACTCAGTTTCTGAATCTTGTAGGATATAATTTGATTGTTATCACCATGCTTTCCAAACTTTGTTTCTTTAGATCTATTTTTTGTGTGTGTGTGTGGTACCTTAAAATTCTAGGTATTGAGTGCTTAAAATATTAAAAATGTTCCTCCTCATTCTCTTTTATGTTGACCCTGAACTATTTATACATCTCATTTTTCTTTTTCTTGAGATTGTTCATTTTTCTTTTTCTTGAGACTGTTAATATGGAGTAGGGTTTTTTTTTTAACTACTAAAGATTATATTCCACTTTACTTACCTGATTAAAGTCTCAGTCAATACTAAATAAATGTAATTACTCTTTTTTTATTTTTTTAAAAAAAAATATGGTAGTGGAGAGGAGATAAATCTAGTACTTCAAAAGCTTTTCTACCTAGGATGCAGTATATGACTTTTTCTTTTGAGAGACAACAAACTAAACTTACCAAAATCAACTTGTCTTTCATAAATGTACAAAAAAAGAAAAAATACCAAACAGATGGCTTAGTGGGTAAAGAGTTGCACTGCCAACCCAGAAACAAGATTCGAATCCACCAGCTGCTTTGTGGGAGAAAGATGGACAGTCTTCCCTCATGTCATTAAAAGCATTTGAAAACCCACTGGCGTTTCAGCTGTAAATATGTTCCAACTCAATGGCAACTAGTTCTTTAGTTTTATGTAATTGGACAAAAACTGATGATGTTAAAAAAATCATCCTAAAGCACATTGATAACAAAGGGAACTGTGCTTCAGAGGTTAGTTAGATGATTGGCAGAGTTAAAATAATCGGAAGGAATGACCTTTGACAAAGAAGAGAGATGTTTACCCAGAATTTTGTTATTACTTTTAAAAGCTACTCTTCTAAGATGCAAGAAGACAAAATAAAGACTTTTTTTTTATCTGAGAAACTTGAAAAGTTTACATGGCTACCTAAGTGTTTTTCCATTGTACAGTAAAAAGAACTTGAAAATTTTCATCAAATTATGATCACTATTATAAAATACATGTCTTTTTATTAATGTAGTTCACACTAGTTCAAATAATTATTTTAAAAAACACCCTCACTTTAATCATTATCAGAGATTTTTTTCCATTGCATGTCATCCCATGTGGCAGGGCTGCACCATTTTGTTTGTAGGTGTTTCCTTTAACATTTCTAACCAACTATGTGTACCAAGCAAAAAACACCCAGAAGTTCTTCCTTTTCTAGCTTGCCTCTTAATGATTTTCATTTTGAGGCAATCCACCTAGCTTTGTCTAGATACTTACAATAAATCTCTAGTTTAATGGTAATACATTTTTAAGTGACAACAGGACCTAACAGTCTGACAAGGAAATTAAGAGAAAAAATAAAAGTCTCCTAATTATTTTCTTAGCCTTGGAAAATTAATTTTAAAATGAAAATTTTATGAGTTTTAGAATTTTTAATGCCTTACATTATTAGTATCAATGAAAAGGTAGAATATCTGCTAATAGATTAATAACTAATGTTTACATAGAAATCATCTCACATGAAACTAATTTAAAAATAATGACTCCGTTATTGTTTTACCTTTCATGCTTGATGAGAATTTTTGCTTTTATGAATGGCTTCTGGCTGTGATTTTTTTCTTTTTTTTGTAAGTCCTTAGGTCCATTTACTGTTTTTAAAAAACAAATTAGAATGAGTAAATATGCCATCCATAGCTTAGTCTTTTCTTCTAAAGAAGATGCACATAAATTGCTTGCCTAATAATTTATGATGATAAGCAGAATAATATAGTTGAATGACTCATCCTAGTAATAACTTAAGAGTATCTTGCTTTGAAGTATTTGATATGAATGTTAGCCCAAGTTTATTGCTGATTATCTCCTCTTTGATTATTTAGTCTCTTTTTAAAAACTTAAATAAGTACTTGATGAATTATCTGAAGGTTGAAGAGATCATATTTATTTAATTATTTACTGTATAAAATGGATTCTTTCTATTAATAATATAATTCAATATCTATAATGAAAACAATAATTTTTTGGGGAAAATTTTATTTATTTTGGTGGCACCTCAAAAAAAGCTATAGATTTTTAATGCTAAAATGATTATTACTTGATGATAGCCTAAAGGGTAACAGCTTTGGGAGGATATACGTTTATACCTTAAAACAAATCAAAATACAGTCATTTTATTTTCCTAATCTAAGTTTAAAATTATTTTTACTTTCACTGGAGTTTATTGGCATCAATTCATATAAAGCAAAATAAAATGCATTTGTCAAAACATGATTGATAATTTATTCCATTGCTTTCTCATATGTTTCATTTCTAGCAACTGCTGAGATTATACTTAGGAAACCTTAACCCTTTTTATATTTATTTAGACGCTGGTTTTCAATACAGAACAATCAGTTGGTTTACCAGAAAAAATTCAAGGTAGGTGTCTTTTAAAATAATTGAGAGCCTAGTGAATCCTCAATTTCTATTCCTTACTGGTTTGCCTTTTAGAGCATAGTATGCCTATGTACTCTCAGTGCCTTGCGTAGGTTCCCACTAAAAGGGGGTAAACTAATGGGCGGAGACTGCCCGTCTTTCTCCTACAGAGCTGCTGGTATAGTTGAGCTGCCTTGTTAAAAGTATTTTCGATTTTTAAAAATTTTCATTTCTTAGTTTTGCTCTGGTGGCATAGTGTCTAGAGAGTCACACTACTAACCCGTAGATAGTCCTTCTTTATGGGTGCTCCCGTGCAGTGTACAGCCTGTGAGTGATTGACAAATGACAGCCCAGTGGAGAGTCAGCTGTGAGTCTCAAGGAGCTCTGGTGACCTAGTGGGGAAGGGGTTGTAGTGGCAACCCAAAGACATGAATTCAAACCCACAAGCTTTTCCACGGGATAAAGACGGCCAGTGCGTTCCCATGGAGTTTACAGCCTCTGAAAACCCATTGGAGGGTTGGCTATGCATTGACTCTGACTGGACAGCAGTGTTGCTTTAACAAAATATGATAAATGAGTGGTTTTGAAAACACTGTTTTCTCATGATTTAAGAGGCTTAGAAGTATGAATTAAGGTACTCACACCTGCAGGAGCCTCTTTCTTTGAAAGATTTCTTTCAGTTTCTAAAGATCTGGCATTCATCGATTATTTGGCAGTCTCCCCATGACATTGATCTTCTTGTTTATGATTACGTGCTTCTGTACATAATATTTAAATCTTGGAGTTGGTTGGTTAAAGACACACTATGTACTGATATGATTACTTTCACATAAAAAAGAGAGTGGTTAGTAGATGGGATTACAGCTATCGCTTGAAAGGTTAGAATTTCAAATATGTATTTGGGGTGGGGGGTGAAAACAACATAATTTATAGCAAAAGAGTGAGACATATTTATTAGAAATGTACATGATGTGAAAGTGTTAAAAATAATTTTCTCTCTCCCAGCCGTTAATTTGAAACCAACTATTAGTAGATTCTCTAGCAGGATTTCAGAAGCTGTAAATTCTCTTGAGATTGTCCATTTCTCTCCCAACACAAATACAATAGCTTACAAGATAGAATTACCTTTATTAGTTAGACCTGTGTTCCATGACCATCATCTGTAATGGAAAATAAAATAGAAACGTTTAAACGTAGATTATTCCTTGGAGTATACTGCAGTATTCTATAGTTAGTTGGTACTACTAACCCAAAGTTGTTGCTTCACTGGCACTTTGAATCCAACCAGCTGCTTCACAGGAAAAAGATAGACAACCTCATCCTTTGTGATTTATGAGTAATGTTTATAAGAATTTTTGGAGCAGAGGTGGCCTAGTCTGTTTTGCTGTTAACATAAAAGGCCTTGCATCTCTGGCCTGCATATTCTCTTCCCGTGAAGACTTACAGCCTTTGAAGTCGGATGGAGTACCTTAATGAGTTGGAACTGGCTTGAGGCAGTGAGTTTTAAAAAGCTAATGGGGAAAACCTTGTTTTCTTATTGTAGGATAATCCAACTGTGGTAGTTGAAGATCTCAGGCTTTGCACAGTGAAACATTGTGAAGACATAGAAAGACGATTTTGCTTTGAGGTGGTCTCTCCAACGAAGTGAGTGCTTCTGAAGGATCTGAAAATTGCTTTTATGTTTCTATAGATGTAGCATGAGGAACTTTCCAAAGTAAATTTTAACTTTGACTCATGAGTATCTGTGCTAAAAATGATGGTGTTTTCAAAATGAAGTTAGTTAATTACTAATTGGTATAGGGAGCTCTGATGGCTTAGAGGTAAGGAGTTGTGCTGCTATTGCAGAGGTATATGGGTTTGAATCCACCAGCTGCTCTGAAACCCCACTGGAGGTTCACCTGTGGGTCAACAATAACAATGGTATTATTGTCAGAGACTTGGATAACTCCTACCTATGTACTATTTTCTCCAAAGTCTGTTCGCTATTATTGTTATGTCCATATGAAAAGTTTTTCAGCTGTCATACTGATGAAATGAAATAGTATTTCCATTTTCTTAAGAACTCTAATTTCATGTTTTGAAAACCTACCCAATAGGGAAAAAAAATAGGGTTATGTTTGTATGATAAGATTTAAATGTTTATTTTTAACTTAATGTGCAAAATGGGTAATGTATTATTATTAAGCAGTTTGTTTTATAAGGTTCGTTTCATAGAGTATTTTTGTCTTAAAGAATATTATTATTATTATTAAGAACATAATATATAACAAAGATTAAAAAATGTAAAGCTTGTGGAGTTTTTAATTGATTATTTTAAAGCCTGAGTACTGTATATTATTTCTTTTTAGAAGTTGCATGCTCCAGGCAGATTCTGAAAAACTGCGCCAGGCCTGGATTAAGGCTGTTCAGACCAGCATTGCCACTGCTTACAGGGAGAAGGGTGATGAATCAGAGGTTAGCATCAGTACTGCCAGTGTCTGTATTGAAAATACCATTTTAATTTCTCTCTTGACTTCAGTTATTCCTCTCGATTTTTCATTGTTAAAAATTAATAATTTAAAGCTTACTTTACCATTTGAGTATATTTCCATTATAATACAAAGTATGTTCCAGATTAGTATAAAACATTTTCCCCCAAAATATTTTATATTTTAGCTAATCATAAAATAAGAAAATTAGTGATGTGAATAATAAAACAGTGAGTGTGAAAGATAATAAAAATGAAAAGAGGCTAAAACTAAATGAAAAAGGAAAAGTTTCTTATTCTTAGCTGAAAGCTCTTTGGGGAGGGAAAGCTTGATACGGAGTCTTTGGTCATAGTCTGGCTTTAGCTTCCCCCAAAATTTACAAGCTCTTTATGGCAAGGCGCCGAGTAAGTGTTGATAATGGAACTCACTCACTACAACCTTGGGGCATCTGGTATGACAGTTGCACAGGTCAGGTGATAGCTGTCTGCGATATAGTAGACAGATTTAGTTGTTAAATGCCATAAAGTTAAGTACAACTTATAGCAACGTTTGACCTTTATTGTACCCTGCACCATCCTCATCATCCTCTACACATTTGAGTCCATTGCCACTGATGATCCATTGAGGAATTTCTTCTCCTTCACTGACCCTCCTACCTTTCCAAGCATGATGTCCCTTTCCAATAGCCTCTCCCAACAGCATATCCAAAATAAGTGATATGAAGCTACACTATCTGCCTCCAAGGAACATTCTTGTTGTATTTTCTCCTAGATATCACTGTTTGTTCTTTTGGCAATCAATGCATCAATTCATCTCCTGTCTTCCTTATTCATTGTCTAACTCTCATGAATAGCAGGTGATTGGAAAGACCATGGCCTGAAAGACCAGGTGCATCTTAGTCTTTAAACTGCCATCAATCACTGTTCATTAGGACTTTGGAGAGATTGCTGACAGAGTACATTGCTCCATAGATGTGTCCTGAATCTTATCTTAACCAACTTTCAGCTTCTAGATCAAGAAAGGAGAATAGGCATTTCATCAATGACCGAGTTTATGTGGACATTATTTTGGGGTACAAATGATGGGATCATTAGTAAAGGGTGTCTTGTGCAGGTTGCCTTTAATGTATTGGTCTCTTGAATCACACTCCAATCTGGACATTTTCTCTCCAACTTTGCTTTACAGCTGTTTGGACATTTCTCTATACAGGCATTCTGGGGATTCTTTTCTTTCCTGTGTTCTGTGTCTTCTTGATTTATCAAGAACCACTGGCATGCTTCTGCCAGTAGTTCCCTTACCATGAGAGATTTGTGAGTTCTTCTGTCTGAACATTTCTTTCTTCTGCTGTCACATTTGTTGATAGTTTGGATGTAGACTTTTTAGGTTTGAAAGAAGTATTTTGAAAAGTTTTAATTTTATAAGACCAACATTGACTTTCTCTTATATACTTCTTTCTCTGTTCCTTTTCTTTAGTGATTTTGTGCTGATCAATTCCTTAATGCCTTTGCATAGACCCACCTTAATATGTTCTTTATTTACTGATTTTTTTCAGACATAATTATTGAATAAGTTAACAATCTTGTTTTTATTAAAGCTCTGGTTACTAATCTTTTATTGCTTTCAAAAGATCTCTTTTCCAACTCCTTTGGTATTTTCCAGTTCTATTTAATTTTTCAATAAAGTTCTTTTTTAATTGTCTAAATATTTAGAAATATAAACTCACGGATTTGTAAAAAATTTTTATTTTAGTATTTTGTGTGTATGTAGCATCAAATCGGATCTGACTGGTACAGGAGGAGGTTGTCCCTCCTTCTCCAGTAGAGCATGTGGTGGATTTGAATGCATACCTCTGGGATTGCGGTGCTGCCTCTTGCCACTAGGCCACCAGAGCTCCCAGACTTTTTTTTTAAAATGGATACAATACTGAGCTATGAATCTTTGTTCAGTTTGATAACACTGGGCGATGTAGAGAATCCTGACAGACAGATCTCACCCAAAACAATTGGGTGGAATTGAAACTCAGGCACCAATGTTTTCAAAAGCTTCTGCGGCGATTTCCATGCACATCCAAGATTGAGAACCAACATCCTGAGGGCTTCCCTGGGCTATCTGGTAATCTCTTGATTATAAGCTGGGCACACAAACTCTTTAGAAGTTCTGAACACTTAGTTAGGGCCTTGTTGGTTATAGGTTTTAGTGAAGGCTGGACCGTTTTCTAGGACAACCAGAGCCAGGATCTTTGGAGACTTTTGGTTGGTATGAATTTAAGGAGAAGACTCCAGTCCCACCTGGGCTTGGAGCTCAATGCTGACATCAGTGTGTGTACGTACATTAACTTGGTCCACTGCATTCCCTTGTTCACGTGGCAGCATTAAGTCTCTTTTGATAGGTGAATAATATTCTGTTTAATATAAATACCACTTTTTATTTCTCTGTTCTTTGATGAATACCTAAGTATCTTTCAGCTGTTATAAATATGTTGCTATTAACAAAGATGTTCATGTATTTGAGCCTGCTTTTAATTCCTTGGGATGTGTATGTAAGAATGGAATTGCTAGATCATAAGGTAACAACACATGGGACTTTTAATTTCTCCATATTTTAACATTTATTTTCTTTCTTGTCTTACTATCTTGGTTAATAACCATCCGAGTAATCATAAACTGGTAGCTTGTGTATTTTAATTATTTATTTACATTTCATTTCTTTTTTATTTCTCTGACTACTTCTATTCAATGAAATATTTTCACATTTTTCATACAAAGTCAAGATTTCCTAAGTGTACTCAAACCCAAGGAGCTTTGATGGCCCGGTGGGTAAAGAGTTGTGTTGTAAACCCAAAGATAGGAGGTTTGAATCTGCCAGCTGCTCTGTATGAGAAAAATAGGCTGTCTCTTCCCTTGAAATTTATAGCCTCTGAAAACCTGCGAAAAGGTCAGCTGAGAGTCAGTTCTGCCGTCTTTCAGTTGTTCGGACTTATAGTGACCCTCCATGGGTCTCCAGGCTGTCAGTCTATATAAGGAGAAGACTGCCTATCTTTCTCCCATGGAGCACGTGGTGGGTTTGAACCACTGACGTTTCCGTTAGTAGTGTTACATAGTATGCCACGACAGCTTTTTACAAAATAAAAATAGCAATAGCTTATATGGCAGAGGAAAATAAAAATAGCAATAGCTTATGTGGCTGAGGAAATTTGAGCTCAGAATTCCAGCACTGCTCTGCTCTGTGTCCCAGGATGACTCATTTGTCCTGTATTTTATTCAGATTTCTGAAACTCTTTGAAACAGTCTCATTGTGGTTTGATATATATTTTCCTAATGACTAGTGAGCATCTTTTCATGTGCTTATTGGCTATTTAGTGCCTTCTTGGAAGAAATATTTGCTGTTTGCCCGTTTGTAGGTTTTATTTGGCTTTAACAAACAGGCATTCATTCTCTCACACTTTAGAAGGAGAATGCTGTTGTATGCCATTGAGTCAGAACTGACACAGAGCTGACCCTATGAGTCCTTGTGGGTTTTCACAAGCTGTAAGTTGCTTGGAAGGAGATTGCCTATCTTTCTCCAGTGGAGCAGCTGGTAGATTTGAACCACTTACCTTTGGGTTTACAGTGCGACTCCTTACCACCAGGCCATTAATGCTTCCTTAGGAGGATAGAGACAGATTCAAAGTGCTTGACTCTAGAAGGACCATGTCTCTTCTGCGCTTCTGTTCCTGGGTGGTGTGTCTTGGTATCTCTCTTCACTCATATCTGCTTGCTTGTTCTAACCTGTTCTCATTCTCTTCAAAAAACTTTTTAATTAGATTTCAAGATTTGCAGACAAAATTGATGTTTTATTCAATAATTCATATACATTGTATGTTGTGACATTGATCATACTCTCTACTTGGTAAGAGCAGTCTTCCACATCTGTCTTGTGGTTTCTGCTTTATTTCTCCTTCTTTCCTATCTCTTCTTGCCTACTGGGCTGTTTTATTGTTACCGCTGAGCAGTAAGAAGAGTTCTTTACGTATTTTGGATATGAATTCCTTATCATAGAGATAGCTTACACATATTTTATCCTGTTCTGTTGGTTATTCTTTCACTCTGTTGTTGGATTCTCTCTTTGACCTTTGCTTCTAAGTTTTCCACTAAGAATTTTAACTTTCGCACTAAAATCTTTGACCCACTCTGAATTAATTTTGATATTCAGTATAAACATTCATCTATAGGTTTGGGCTTTTTTGGATGTTGATATTCAGTGTGTCCAGCATTATTTTTTTTTAAACAATCATCTTATAATTGTCTGATAGTCTTAGAACTCGTACAAAAAAATCAACTGACCTTAAATGTGAGGATTTATTTCCAGATTCGGTATTCTATTCCAGTGACCTATATATACTTACCCTTATGCCCGTACCACACTATTTTTACTTAGTTTTAGGATGGATTTTTGTGTTTTTGTTATGTTTCGGGGAGGGGGGGAATCCAACTTATTGTTGAGATTTTGATAGGGATTTCATTTAATCTACACATCCCTTAAAAAGGATTGTCATCTTTACATTGTTAATATTTCTACTTGTTAAGCATAAGATATCATTCTTTCCAATTACTAGCTCTTCTTGAATTTGTTTCAGAAATGCTGTCTTAAGTTTCTTAACTCTCTGTGTAGAACACTCTCTCCTTTTGCCTTACCACTACCCCACACCCTAACAGTGACTTACTAGAGAAATTAGGCTAGTTATCCTAAAAACTTCTCTTTGCTAAGATTGCCTCCTAGGTGATGTATGTGCTTCATGTTGCAACAGGAGGTACATAATATACTTGGCTATCTCACCATTACTAATGCCAAGAGTAAACTTCCGTGTGAAGCTGAATTGGACACACTGAATCAGGGAGACGGCAGTAGGATCCCTCCATCATAGTTAAGTGAGCAGTGGTACTTCCGGGATAGAATTCCTGCTTTGCATTAGGAGATTTCGTGTTCAGTTCCTGGCCAGTGGACCTCATGTACAGCCAACACCCAGCACATCTGTCAGTGGAGGATTGCTTATGGAACAGATTTCTGTGGAGCTTTCAGACTAAGATAGTCTAATGATTTACTTTCAAAAATTAGCAGTGCAATGGCCTAATTTGCAGTTTATCCTCGGAAAGAATAAGATTGAGCAATTTTCGTTCTCTTGTGCACATGGTCCCTAGAAGGTGAGGGCTGACTCTAGATCAGCAACTTCCGCTGCACTGGAACTTACCTTTGTGCCATGTAATTACTCCTGAATTGAGTTTTTAGGAAGGCAAGAAAAGGCCAGATTATCTAATTACTATGTTCTAAAATACTCGTTTATTAAGATTAAGAAATTAACATTCTCATTTTAAGCAGTAAGACTTTTTATATGTCATATCAAACTATATATTTATATTTGGTCATTATTGCCAGGTGCACACAAGTACTTGTTAAATATTCTTTCTATAACCTTCATAAAATAATCTTTATTACTGATGCAGATTTTACTTTTGTGCTTTAAAATATTGAACCATTTTTTTTTACCAGCCTTTCCCCCCACCTTTTCCTCCTGGTTTAACTAATTACCTAAAGACTTATGTCACCTGTTTCACTCTTAATTATAATTATGTAATGTATCTAATTCTTGCTATTGAATCATGAAAGACCATACCTTTTTTCTCGTTATTCAAACTCACAACAGTAATTGAAACAACTTGCATACAGCTTATGCAATGTTTTGACAAAAACTTGGTATAAAGATATGATGATAATTTATTTTATTTTGGAATCTTAATTATCTCATGTCTAATTTCTTCTGTTTCTTACCCTGTACCTCAAGCTAATGTTCTCCTCAAATCTATTCATGCCACTGTTTTATCAGTTCTTATGTAATTTTACATGTTTATATGTTTTTTACCATTAATATAAAAGCTCATTGATAATAGACCAATTTTTAAAAGTCACATATTAGGTCTTTAATGATTAACTTATTGAGAACTTTTGTGGATGCATGTAGCATACAACATAATATTAGGATTTTTTAAAAAAATAATTCTTTGTTCTTTTAGAAGCTGGATAAGAAATCATCTTCATCAACAGGAAGCCTAGAATCTGGTAATGAGTCAAAAGAAAAATTATTGAAAGGCGAAAGTGCACTACAGCGGGTCCAGTGTATCCCTGGCAATGCCAGCTGCTGTGACTGTGGTCAGGCCGACCCGCGGTGGGCCAGCATCAATCTGGGCATCACCCTGTGTATCGAGTGCTCCGGAATTCACCGGTGGGTAATCCTGCCCCTGGTGAGGAACTTCTCCTTTTGAACAAGCAAAGGTTATGAATGACACATATCCTGTCGGTTAGAGAACCGTTCGCACTTTCCTTGCTGTCTGCACCATCCACAAAGTGGACCGTGTTCTGGTCTGTAAGACACTTTTGAGGACTTGGTTCATCATTTGTTATTAACCAGGTCTTTCCCTGTTCATATTAATGCTGAAGGCTATCTTAAAGACTACGTTACAGTGTTAAAAAAAAAAAGTAATTTCTATATATGTGCAAATAGAACAAGGACTTGATAGTTTTATAAATGAATGCAATCTTGTTTTTCTTCGTAGGAGTCTTGGGGTTCACTTTTCAAAAGTCCGATCTTTAACGTTAGATACATGGGAACCTGAACTTTTAAAGGTAAGTGGAATATTTGCCTTAAAAATGTTTATATTTTTAGGTAAAATGCCCCATGATTTTGCAGTCTTTATTAATAAATTTATCACTTTCTCTTTTTAATGATGAACCACTTTATTTTGGAGTACATCTGAGGCTATTTTGACAAACCTTACATTTTCATAATGGATTTTTAAAATTGCAGAGTGCCTGTAACACTCCTAACTATAAGTCAGCTCATTCTCTAAGGAAATATAGCTTAATACATATTTTTGTTTTCTTAAAAGTTATCCTAGATCTTGTGACTCAGATTGATTATTTTCTACTTAAGAAAATAGATTTATTTGACCATTACTGTAGTCTCTTCTGTATATATTTATTTTAAAAACAAACGAAAATTTATTCTTTAATAGTTTAAGAGGCTAAAAAGTCCAAATTCAGGGTTCTGGCTTTGTCTGTCACTTCCAAAGAAAGGTCCTTGTTTTCTGCAGCATCTGTAACCTGATATTCTCACAAGTCCTCTGGGTGCTTGGCCTTCTATAGTGTCACAGAGCTGCTTCATGCAGGGGCCTGGCTCCACAAAGATGTGCATTCATTTCTCTCTGAAAATTTTGTTCTGAATATATTTGCATTTTTATTCTAGTTCATAGGTGATCCTTCAAGCTTTTCAGCTGTGTAAATTGCTATTTAAAATTGCTTTGTGGACTTATTGCATAAACATCTAAAAGATAAATTTTTTCTTAATCTGAAGCCTTCTTTAAATACATTCTATAGTTTGTTATGAATTCAAAGGAGCTGGATATAAAATTTACTGATCAGTTTTATAAAGATATTAATTCAATGGGTATAGATTAGAAAATTTGATTGACACACATCTCTCCACCTTAAGCCATGACTAAAATATTTTTAAAAATCTTTTTAAATTTGTCAATGTAAATTATAAGAAGAAAACAGTGTTTTTCAGTTCTGGGTTGTTCCAAACTTAACTTGTCTTGCCTTTGGCACTTTTCTTCAATTAATCCAACAGATATTATGAGCAATGTGTAGTAGCGTGTTAGTTATAGTGGGGAAATGGGAAACCAGTAGAGAAAATGGGCTGTGTATGCTGAAGGGTTTTAAAGTCAAGCTAGGAAAATGCTCATGTAATAGAGAGTAGGCTAGATGATAGATGTTATCACGTAAAGGTGAGGAGGCTTGAAACACAGATTACTGGAGATCAGAGACTACAGCCTTTGGTAGGAATACCCCAGGTGGTGTTTCATTCTGTTATTTACAGAGTCTTTATGACTTGTACCGTCCTCCATGGCACCTTATCTAGTTCAACAGCAAAATTATAATCTTTTCTTAATCCTTGTCTCATTTTGTTTTATTTTAAAATTTCTTTGTGAGATTAGAAATTAAATAATATATGGGAAGAGTTAGTTAACTATACTTTTGTTTATTTACTGTTAAATTGGTTTGTGTACAGAGTTTTCATACGTTGTATTTCACACTGACCTTCATTCATCTTGTGTTTCATCCAATCCTTCTCATTATTTTTAATTGTTTAAACATATATGCATGTAATTGTTTTGAGGATTAAAACTTTTATGATGCTTTTAGAAATGTATGGCTTATTTTTCTATCTTATTACCTAACAGCTTATGTGTGAATTGGGGAATGATGTTATAAATCGAGTTTATGAAGCTAAAATAGAACAAATGGGGATAAAGAAACCACAACCAGGACAAAGGTACTAATTTATTCCCTTATCATAATGGGCTCTACCCTCCTCCCCAAAATCAGGTGTGTATTTAGGTTTTCATTTTAATCAGTATATAATATTGAGGTATGAATGCTGAGAAGTGATCAATCATGACTGCTTTTGTGCAAGTATGTATCTCTTACTTGAGTATGCTAATTAGGTAATTTTATTGAGTGAATCCTCAGAATTTCTAGGTTTTGAAAATCTTAAAAAGTTAAGGCTCTACATAGAAATAGAAAAACTAATAGCAATTAAAAGTAGAACAAAAATCTTCTAGTAGAAAACCTTTAAGAAAGGATAACCTGTTCGTGAATATATTCAAGCATTGCATTTTTTATTATCTATAATGAATAATTTTATGTTGTGTGACTTAGTTCAGCAAGCGTTTGTTAATTACATACGTCATGCATGGTATTAAGATGATGAAGATTCAGAAACGGGAAGAATGGCTTCTTGGAGAGTGTTTAATTGCTGGGTTTGAAATCCTCTCTCTCGCCTTATCACTGCTGCGTCTGAACTCACTGATAGTTGATCCTCCAGTGCGTTTTCAGAGACTGTAAATTGCATGGGAGGAGATTGCCCATCGTTCTCCCTGAGAGCAGCTGGAGGATTTGAACCACCTGCCTTTGGGTTGGCATACAACTCACTAGGCCACTCGAACTCCATATGGATGGATGGATGTGTGCATATATATGTGTGTGTATATGCACACCGCCCCCCCCACCCCCCATAGAATTTCCAAGGCCAGAAATCTTTGCAGAACTAGATTGTTACTACTGTTATTGTGTACCATTGAGTCGGAATTGACTCATAGCTGACTCTCCAGCAGTTTTTCAGAGGCTTAAATCTCACCAGAGGAGTTTGCCCATCTTTCTCTCATAGTAGTACAACTCCTTAACTTCAAGCCACCGGAATTCTCTGCCACCTCTTTTTCCCACCGAGGTTAATGGATTCAAATCAACCTTTTGGTTAGCAGCCCAGACCTTAACCACTACTCGACCAAACCTAAACAACTATATCTGAGTATATATTTATTTAATATTGATATGTATGTATGTACTTCCTGTATTATATTGATAAATAATGGGTGTGTATTTATATGTGTGTATGAAAAAAGGAAGAGCCGGTACCTAGAAGGTACATTAGATTTTGTGAATCTAAAGGTACTTTTAGCCTTAAGAATTCTTTCATTTTAGCATTAAAGTTTTATTTGCTCATAAGGCAATGATTGAATTTTGAGATTTTTATGCTTAACTAAACATTTATGTAGAAACAGTACTATTCTGATGTTACTTATCTCTAAGGTAATATCCCTTGAATCAGATTCTTGCTTGTATGACTCTGAATTGTTTCAGAGCTTGATATATGCTCGCCTTGTAGCCAGAGATCTAGACATTTTAAAACATGTTTCATATCACAAATCAGTTTTAAAAAAGAACACAGTTAGTGACTTTCTTTGAAAATACGTCAATATATAATTAATCTTTTCTATATTAGTTATGGTAAGCAGAGTATCATCATATTTTTCTGTGTCTCAGACAGGAGAAAGAGGCATATATCAGAGCAAAATACGTGGAGAGGAAATTTGTGGATAAATATTCCATATTATCATCACCTCCTGAGCAGGACAGAAACACTGGCTCCAAAAGTTGTGAAGAAAAGAGGCTGAGCATTTCCAAACCTGGGCCAGGGGACCAAGTCAGGGTACCAGCTCAAAGTCCAGGTACTACACAACTTGTGTATAGAGATATTTTCCTTAAAGGCAAAATCACTTTTATATTCTCCAAATAGCAACTGTAGGTTTTTAAATGCTTAAAAAAATTTTTTTAAAAATCTGTTTCCTTCTCGATAGTCTAAGGAAAGATTTAATTTCTTTGACTTTAACAGTTATATTTAAATAGTGCAAAGGTAATGCCTATTTCTAGGTAATATGTCTATTTTAAGAAATAATAATTCTGCATAAAATGCAAGGGGAGATGGGAAGTGTAAATCTACCATGCTAAAGACCCCTCAGTATCTGATTAACCACCTATTTTCCTTCCTATTTTTCCCTCCTAAATTTTCCCATTAACGTTTTTTCCTGCCCTTTTCCCTTCTTACTGCCTGCTCTATGCTTTGCTAACTTGCATGTCCCCAGTGGTTGCTGTTAATAGCGACGAGGCCAGGCGGGAGTCTCTGTTCTGTCCTGATGAGCTAGACTCACTCTTCTCCTACTTTGATACTTCTTCAAAACTACGTAGTAGTAAGTACTACTCTTGTGGAGCATTCCAAGTCTGTGCCAGTGGTCATTGTGCGGTGTGGCCATTTCTCTAGATGTCTCTCATTGTCTCAGATTCGCACACTTACAGTCATCCAAAAGAAACTAAACTTTTGCTACCCCTGACGTATTATGGGGTAGTGAGATGCATTATACTTCTGAAAATGTTTATTTTCAGGCTTTGCAATGATTCATATCTTGATAAGCAAAGAGTTCAAAAGGATTGCAATTGTTTTAAATGTTTTCTAAATGTATTCTGCTGGTGGTGGCTGCGTTTCTGCTGAAGTGTAGGAACTCATTTAAAAATCTATTTGTTTGTGGGATATTGTTTTCCAAGTGATTTGAACTTTAATCACTGGCTGATTTTTTTCTTTAAAACAGTGAAAAGTAACGACAGTGGAATCCAACAGAGTTGTGATGATGGAAGAGAATCTTTACCCTCCATGGTGTCGGCCAATAGTTTATACGAGCCTGGTGAGTGTGGGTGAAATTTGGTGTTAATTGATACTGCTTGTGGAAAAACACTTGTAAATGATTCATCATGATGACATAAGTTCTAAAGGGACTCGTTAGGCCTTTAGGACATTTAAAAGGAGGAGTAATACGGTTAAGTGAGAATGCCGCTGTTTCTGTTTACATTTGGGAGCGCTCTTTTCTCGCTGGGCATTCTTCCTGGTTTTGTGGTGTGTCCCAAAGTGCTCTGCCATAACTAAAACTCATTTTCACTCCACATGAATATATATATACACTTATTTCTTATTTTTTGGAAGTTCTAGTAAGTAGTTGCGTTGGCTGTCCAATGACATGCAGTTTGAATTGATCAGCTGCTCTGTAGTAGCAATTGACAGCCTCTAAAAATGAAGCGCTTGCTGCAGAGTGTCAAGGACTGCAGCCTTCAATATGGGTTGAGGCTCAATGTCAAGAAGACAAAGATTCTCATCACTGGACCAATTGGCAGCATCAGGATGGATGGTGAAGAGATTGAGATTGTTAACAATTTTAGTTTGCTTGGCTCCACAGTCAACACTCTTGACACCAGCAGCCAGGAAATTAAGAAACGTATTGAGATAGGAAAGTCTGCTGTTAGGGACCTCTCTAACGTACTGAAGAGCAATGGTGTCTCTCTGGAGACTAAGGTGCATCTGATACAGGCCATAGTCTTTGCAATCACTTGTTATGCATCAGAGAGTTGGACAATGACTAAGGAGGATAGAAGGAGAATTGATGCCTTTGAGCTGTGGTGCTGGAGAAAAGTATTGTGAGGGTACCATGGACTGCTAGGAAAACAAACAGATTCATCCTGGAAAGGGTCAAACTGGGCAGCTCCTTGGAGCCAACGATTCTGAGGCTCCATCTAACATACTTTGGACATGTTGTAAGGAGGGACTGGTCCTTGGAGAAGGACATCATGCTTGGGATGGTGGAGGGACAGCGCAGGAGGGGAGGCCCTCTATGAGGTGAATTGATTCAGTGACTGGGATAATCGGGATGGGTGTATTGAAGATGGTGCTATTGGCCCAGGACAGAGCAGAGTTTAGGGCTGTTGTACATAGGGTCGCTATGAGTCCCAAGCAACTTGACGGCACATAACAACAACACAACAACAACAAAAATACCCTGCTAGGGGGACACCTTTTAGTCATCCTGGCTCAACAGCACATACCAACAACATCAGTTAGTCTTTTTTTTTTCTTGTGATTGTCTCTTCCTACCAGGAACAAGTACAACAGCTCCCTCCACATTAGATGTTTTTTTTTCCTAATCTATACTGTATTCTGCCAGTGTCTATCTGATTTTAGTGATTAGGATCTCAAAGAATACTCAAGTATTCTTCTAGTCATTTGACTTCTTGTACAGAAATTTTTAATGTTATTGGACCATCTTAGAGGAGAAGTGAGGTTTGGTCCTTTATTGAATTTTTTCTGAATTCTTTATTGTTGCTTCTGAGTATTTAACTTCACTTGATTAAAAGCATGAAAGTGGATTCATTGCCAGGGCATTGGAACTGATTTTCTAGTGCATTTTCAGAGGCTGGAAATTACATGAGAGGAGATTCTTTGTCTCTTCACTCAGGGCACCCGGTATATTTGAACTGCATACCTTTGAGTTAACAGTACATTGCCTTACCCTCTAGGCCACCAGAGCTTCCTATAAGGATAAGTATATTCAGGCTTTTTACTGCATTAAGACCATTATTGTAAAAATAGAAGGATAACTAGTAAGATGTATATCAAAGTCCAAAAGAGGGGAAATAGGGACAGGACGGCTCAGGGTAGATGGGCGGGCATTATTAGGATGACAGAGCTTGTTGGGTGGAGGGGGTGGAGAGAAGGAAGTAGGAACGATCCAGTGGGGACCTGAAGAGATGAGTATAAAACACAAATGTAGGAATGTGTGAAATGCAGTGTACATGAATGATAAATAATGTATATGAATTTTAAATGCAAATCAATAAAAAATAAAAATAAATGGGGGGAAGTGTGTATGCACTTTTGGTCTGATATAAAGTAATTGTGTTTACTTTTGTTTTGGGGTGTTTTTCTGAAATGTGTTACTTTATTATTTTTTTAATAATTTTTTCTTTAAATTATGATTTTAATGAAAGTTTACAGAAAAGTTAGGTTTTCATTCATTCATTGTTGCTCATTTTTACCCCTTCCCCCTCCCCAAGTAAACTTACTTTGTTTTTTTAAATATTCATTTATTGTTGCACAATTACCTTCGCCCTCCCTTGTTCTCTTTGTAAGGTACCTCTTATTTTGGAATGCTGACAGAGCTACTAATTAATGTCTAAAACTGAAGGTTACATGTCTGGAGAATAACTGTAAATTTAGCGTGTAAAACTGTGAATTATTGCAAATTCAACTCAAAGATAAATTCACTATTTGCTCCAAGAGAGAAAGATGAGCCTTCTCTCATGTCATTTAAGTCACCTGTGAGTCGATTCCAATTCAACAGCAATGAGCTGAGCTCAATATGATAAATTAGTGATAGTACAGATTTCACATGATGATTCATTTAAGAACTCATTTTCTTTGACACTTCATATGTATTTATTGAATTGACTTGATGCATACTCAGTCCACTTACTTTATGAATGATATTGAGGGAGGAAAAAGAAAACACAGTTACAAATTAATATCTTTGGCTCCATCCTTTACAACTGTTGTTGTTGTTAATTGTCATTCGGTCCTTTGTGATTCATGGTGACTGCATTGAAGGGGGGAACTGCTCCATAGAGTTGTCAAGGATGTGACCTTTTAGAATCCAGTCACCAGGCTTGCCTTCTGAGGTGGGTTTAAACTGTCAACTTACAGTAGTTGTTCTTTTTGCACCCCCAAGTATTCTTACTTGCAAGTGGAATTTGCACATAGTTGCTGAAATGCTGAGGTGATGCTGAGCAAATGACTGGGTTGAAAGTCTTCTGGGGATGAGGTGACTAGTGAGCAAGAACAGTTTTAGAATTTTGATCATTAGAATGTAAGTGGAATTAAAAAATCATAACAAGATGAAGAAAGGAAAAGAGATATTCAGGATGTAGAAAAATGCTAATCATATCCCAAACATGGTGTGTACAAGTCAATAAGATATGATGCTTGCCTTCAGGAATTGCATCTTGTGCAAAGGGCATATATAAACAGGTAATTACCGTAGGAATTGGCATTATAATGCGAGGACAGTGAGGTAGAGGGAGAAACTTGAAGAGAAAGAGATGATGATTGATGTTGATCTTAAAGAATGGGCATTTTAGAAAAGGTACATAAGGCTGTTTTGAGCATTGTAAATGGGACCTGAAGAGGCATGTGATCCAGCATGCCATGCTAGGTTAACAGTCGACAGAGTCAGTAAGCAAAGGAGTGGAAAGATCAAATCTGCTTTTTGTTTGTTTTTACAGTAGCTGATGTGTGTTGAGAGAGAACATTTATCTATAGTTAAACATTCCTAGATTCCTAAGTCACATCTTTTGAGTTTGGATTCAGGCTCTGCTACTTAAGAGCTGTGTGACCAACTTCTCTGTGCATGAATTTCCTTGTCTGTACTGTCCACTGTCCAGTTAGTAAAAGTATGCACCTCATATTGATGGTGTAATGACAGAATGGGAGCTAATACATGAAAAGCACTTAGAAAGTTGCCTATATTGCAAATGTGTTAACTTCTTTTGTGAGGACGAAAGTGTCTCCCATGGATCTTCTCTGTAACATTGTGGTTTGTTTGTTTTTCCTTCCTGTAAGATTTTTTTCTTTCATGTAAGATTTTGTGTCGTAGTACACTGCCTTCATTTCCAGTATAAGCCCTTTTTTTTGGTGTATTTGTGCTTCATTTTCAGAAGGAGAAAGGCAAGAATCTTCTGCTTTTCTGGATTCCAAACATCCTAACCCAGGACTTCAGCTTTATAGGGCTTCATATGAAAAAAATCTTCCTAAAATGGCCGAAGCTTTGGCTCACGGTGCAGATGTCAACTGGGCTAATTTGGAGGAAAGCAGCGCCACACCACTTATCCAGGCCGTACTAGGGGTATGGATTTGTACATTGAGGTGTTCAGTATATTTTTTTAAATGATAATTTGTTCTTAACATGGCTTTTTATTATTTACTATATCATATTTTTTATTATTAATACAGTATTAATTAAGAAACATTTACTTACTAATAATTAATACAGTATTATAAATATTTATTAGTATGATGGTTATTGTTATTGTTTAAGAAATGTGTGGGAACCTAGAAAAAACATTTACAGCTTGTAGTGATTTCTGAGCATCATATTTGATTATTTAAGCTCAAATTTTTTCTTAATGGGAGAGAATTCTGATCATGAAAGTTGAATGTTTTGGTAGATCACAAATGGCCTATTGAACTCCTGTTAGAATTAGTTCTTTGGGTTGGAGTGAGGGTCTCCTTTCTGTTACTGAGATTCAAATGGGAAGGCTTATCGAGTAAAGTAAATGGAACTCTCCTGTTCTTAAATAGAAATGTACTGTGGTTTCTTGTTTGGTATTTTTATACTTAATTTTCTTCTCTCTTCCTCCCACCCCACAGGGTTCTTTGGTGACATGTGAGTTCCTCCTACAGAATGGTGCTAATGTGAACCAAAGAGATATACAAGGGCGGGGACCACTGCACCATGCCACCGTCTTAGGACACACAGGGTGAGCCATACTGGTTTAATGTTAATGTGTTCCTATTGGAAAAGAAAAATACTATAAAATAAACGTTTTACTATTGGTCAGGTTAAGGTCACTAGGGTAGAATGTGTAATGCTTTCCTATGACTTTGATTGTCATGAGGAAATGTGGAAATAGTTTGCTCAGAAAAAATCATGTTAAATACAAAAGCTACAAATATTTTTTGGACTCAATTTAGCATTTTGAATAAAAACAACAGAGCTGTTTTTATTTTAAAATGACAAATAGTCATACCTTTTAAAAAATTTTAAATAGCCAAGTAAATGACAAAAAAAGTTGTTTTTAGAAGATCTAAATGAAGTAAAAAGATTAGCCTTATTTGAAAAGTGTGTTATAACTGGTTGTTTTTTTAATAAAATAGAAAGCTTGGCATGTTGTGTCTTAATTTTAATTTCTTTAAAAGTATTTCTAAATATCTTCTTTGACTCAGTGATTTATTTCCATATATTGTGAATTTCTCAAATTTTTCTTTACTGTTGAGTTCTAATTTAATTCCATCTGATTGGAAGACATACTTTGTATTTTTACTTTTCACAAAGATTCACTGAGTTTTATTTCATGCCTCAGCAGATGATCTTTTCTGGGAAACATTTTCTGTGTACTTGTGAAGAACTTGTAATCCTTTTACTGAGTGGAGTGTTTTATAGATAGCCATTTGGTCTAGTTGGTCTACAGTGTCATTCAAGTCATCTGTTTCCTTACTGATTTTCTGTCTAGTTCTATCCATTATGGAAACTTTGGTATTGACGTTTCTTTTACTATGTAATTGTTTATTTCTTCCTTTCTGTCACTTTTTGCTCTGTGTATTTTGGTGTTTTTTATTGTGTGTATCTATATTTATAATAGTCACATTTTGCTAATAGATTGACTGTGGTTTTAGTCTATTTTGTTTTATTTTAATACAGCCATTTAGTTTTTCCATTGTTGTGTAAATGTATATAGTACAATGTTTTTTCCATAAATTTATTTTCATTCTATTTGTGGCTTCGAATCTAGACTGTTTCTCCTGCAGACAACATATAGTTGAATCATGGGTTTGATCATCCTGATGACCTCTTATTTGGATTGGATTAATAAACATTTAATGTCATTGATGTTGTTGGATTTTTGTCTGTCATCTTACTTTTTGTTTTCCATATGTTGGTGTTTCTTGTAAGGTGGTCTTGCTAGCAATAAATGTTCTCATTTTCTTTATCTGATTTTTTTCTTCATACTGTTTTTGCCTTTTTCAATCATAGCTCAAGCTTCTTAGTTAACAAGTGTTTTTTGCACTGAGAATTTTGATTGTGTTAGCCCATTGACATGTAGCCTCCATACTATATGAAGTATAAGAAGTTAGCTATTAATGTTTTTGAGATTCTTTTGTGGGTGACAAGTTGATGTCCCCCTCTTATTTTTGTACACATTTATTGTATGGCCTAATAGTAAGGAGTTGTTTTTCCAGCCCAAAGAGTGGCAGTTCAAATCTATTAGTGCCCAGTGGGAGAATGATGCAATTAACAGCCCCTGTGCACTTTACAGTGTCTGGAAATCCGCTGGAGGGTTAGCTATTAGTAGGTTCTTACTGGACAGCACACAGCAACAACATTGCTATATGAGTTTATGTTCACATTTCTTTATTCATTTTTTTCTTTCTGTTCTTTGACTTGCATAAATTTTATCTAGAGTCTCAAGTTTGCCAAATTAGTCTTTTAAATCTAGGCTTAAAAATGTCCTTGTTTATGTTTAATTTGTGAAAACTACTGCTCTGTTCCTATTCTCCATATATTGAGATATTGTCATCAAACCATTCTTAATTCTTTAGTTAAATATGCTTGTAATTCTGTGAAAATACTTCTTTTTAAAAAAAAATTTTTATTTTATTTTTGTGTGTGTACCGTCAAATGGACCTGACTGGTACAGGAGGAAATTGACCCTCCTTCTCCAGCAGAACATCTGGTGGATTCGAACCACATACCTCTGGGATTACAGTGCAGCTTCTTGCCACTAGGCCACCAGAGCTCCTGAAAATATTTCTAATGACTACTTTATTTTTATTAATGATTTTTTAATTAATTTTAATGAAATTTTATAGAGACTTAGGGTTTCCAGTCATTCATTGTTGCAGTTTTCTCCCTACCTACCGCCTCTCCCCAAATTCACTCTTCTCCTTGAAAAGAAAGAAAAACTCTTTCATTGTTATGCAATCCCTCCCTGCCAAGTTCACTCCACTATGCAACCTTCACTCTGGATTTCTGTAATGAAAAGAATGGCCCTTCATATATCCCTTTTAAACAGATCTCTCCCTCATCTGTTTCAATGCAATATACATCATTCCTCCCCTCCTTTTCTGTCTTCCCTCAACCATGATGTCAGTCCCGTTTTACAACAGTGGCCTTATGCAGTATTTGTCCTTGTGTGACTGAGATATTTTACACAGCATAATGTCCTCCAGGGTCATCCATTTTGCATATTTCATGAGTTCCTTATTTTTCAATGCTACATAGTATTCCATTGTGCACATATACCAGAGCTTTTCTATTCATTCTTTTGTTGATGGGCCCTTGGGTTGCTTCCAGCTCTTTGCTATAGTGAACAAAGCCACAATACACATGGGTGCACATATATCTGCTTGGGTGGCAGTTATGGTTTCTTTAGGGTAAATTCCCAGTAGTGGAATTGCTGGGACAAATGGTATCTCTATTTGCAACTTTTTGTGAAAGTGCCAGACAGCCTTCCATAGTGTTTGCACCACTTTATACTCCCACCAACAGTGAATAAGTATTCCAGTTTCTCCACTCCTCGCTAGCATTTGTTGTTTGTTGTTCTGTTAATTTTGCTGCTATTATTGGGGTGAGATGATATCTCATAGTTGTTTTGATTTGTATCTCTCTTGGAGCTAGGGATTTTGAACATTTCTTCATGTGCTTGTTGGCCATCTGAATGTCTTCTTTAGTGAAGTGTCTGTTCATATCCTGTGCCCATTTTTTAAATTGTGTTATTTACTTTATCTTGTTGTGGTTCTAATTACTACTTTTTTGTCTTCTTGTTGTTAGCTTCAATACATCATCATTCTCATGGACAGGTCCTCCTTTTCCACCCACCCCTGTAATTTAAAAAAGATCATATTTAACTCATTCTTTGTATTTCTTTTCCTGGATTAAACATTCCTCTCAATTCTTCATAGACTCCATTTACTCAGTCTTTATCCTTTTCATTTTGCTTTAACTTTTGTCATTTTCTTTATTTGCTATGATTATCTATGGAGTGTTACAGGAGGATTACTTCCTTGTCTTTGCTGTTGTATTGTCATTAGTGTATTATGTATTATGATGTTTAATATTGCTTTGCCTTCACTGATTCCCCAATAATAACTACGAGTGATTTTTTTCATTTTACTTACCTGTTAAGAGATACCTATGTGTTTCTTTAAATGATGTTTGTGAGGGGTTGTTGTTAGTTGCCATTGAGTCAGTTCTGATCATAGCAGTTCAGATAATGTGACTTATGTAAAAATGTCTTGAGACATTAAAATCCATGTTCAGTATGTAGCTATAGAATGAACCAATAATGCCTAATAAAAATGTCATTTCCTTAATTAGCTAGTGGTTTTATTTTAATTTTATAATGAAAAATAACTTCGTGTTTGAAAATATTGGTTTCCTTAAACAGGCAAGTGTGTTTATTTCTAAAACGAGGTGCCAATCAGCATGCCACTGACGAAGAAGGGAAAGACCCCCTAAGTATAGCTGTGGAAGCTGCCAATGCTGACATAGTGACCTTGTAAGAGTTTTTTGTCTTTTTCTTTTTAACTTAATAATACAGTCTATTACTTGTACAGGGTGTTAATATTGAGTTAACACATTGAGTTAATACATGCATATGCATTTACTTTAAAAGTAATTGATAAAAAAGATAAATGATTTTTTACAATATATTGCATCTTTCTCTATATGCTTTGTTGTTGTTGTTGTGTACTGTCAAATCAGAACCAATTTCTAGCTGACTTTTCTGTGTGTTTTCAAAGGTGGAAATGTATGAGACGTGGGGGGTAAGCAGAGATTGCCCATTTTTGTCTTGTCAGTATATTTTAAAGGTATATTATTTGATCTTCACAACACTTTGTAAAGGAAGCATTATTATTATTATTAATTATCATCATCCTCATTTTTCACGTGAGGAAGTCAAGCCATAGACAGTTTGAGACACTAGTCTAAGATCACACAGCTGGTCGGTACTAGATCTGAGATCAAAACCAATAATTCTAATTTTTAAGTCCATCATCTTAGCCTCTTCCTCCTGCGTGACCAGTACGTAGGGACTACTGGTATTTTTTTCTAAAATGTTAAACGCTTAGTACAGTGCTGCGGGGAAGTTGATAGAATAATAGGTAATTATTTATCTGCCTCAAAAATCAGAGTATTTTAGGTAGGGGTGACAGCTATATTGATGTTAGTTACTGTTGGAATTATGAAATAATCTTTAGGATTGCAGCACAGCTTCTTCTGACCTCTAGGCCATTAGAACTCCCTGGGCAATGATGGTTAGAAATCTGTTCATGTTTAGTTTTTGTCAATGAATTTTCCCCATGAATACCAAGTTAATTGTAATTTATTATTGTTTTTTTAAATTTAAAAGATAACAATGGTCTTGAGCGTAGCAGAGTAAAATGGAGCAGGATAGGGCAAGGCTTCCATATTTTTGTTCATAGTGTTGTGATGATTATAGTTAACTTGACCATCATAACAACAACAACAGCAAATCAACAAGGAAAATGTAATAAGATAGGAAAGAAAGACATTTGAGGTCTTAATGTGATTTTTATCTTTAGTTAAAATAGTTTGTTACATTTGAAATCTAGACATGAGATCATCACCTTCATGTAAAAAATGTCAAGGGTCCTTTGTGTGATGTTGCTTTTTTCATTGTGTCAGGCTGATTGAAACCCAGAATTGAGTATCCCTTACCACTTGAGTAGAGTTATTTCAGCCACACTGTCAAATCTCAATAATTCACAAGAATAAATTCTTGAACCTCTAGAGCTCTTGCTGAGAATTCTGACTTGCCGTGTATACCCCACCTTTACAACTATGAAAATATAAACAAAACAGTCAAATGTGCTTTCCTTATCCTTAGTACTGTTCGCTTTCTAGAGGCAATGCTATGGTATGGAAGCTGTTTTGGAAAAAAATACTTTAAAACTGTCAAATCAGTTTAGAGGTAGGATTGGAGAAAGAATTTACGGGGGGGGGAAAAAAAGTCCAAATGGCGCAGAGGCACTAACTCTAGCTTTAACTTTATAGGAAATTTCTATGTAGTTGCGATTCCTTTTCTAAAAAAATTTTGCCCAGAGTTTGTTTAATTTTTTCTTTTACTTTATGTGAGGATTTGAAATTTCACTGAGTAATTTAAAAAAATAAGTACCCTCTCTTCAAATCTGACTGCAAAGGGAAATTTATGGTGGTATTAGTAATTCACACAGGGTTGAGAGAAGAGACGGAGAGTGTGTGGAGCTTTGAAGGTAGGAAATGGTCGTGGCACATGCTGCAGATCCCAGAGTGGGCACACAGAAGTGAGCTTCGAAATCTGGGCAGGCAGTCACCCTATAGGGCAGGAAGTAGTACAGAGTGGAAGTGGGATACTACAGGCAACATTTGCTTATTTTCAGTGTTGCTTAAAGTTAGCAAAAATACAGGAGGACATTTTAAACTTTTGGGACTAATACTACATGATGATTTACCTGCTGGGAGGGTGGTTGTTGTTTTGTGCTGTTGGGTTGTAACTAACTCATAACGGACTTCCAGGGAGTTTTCAGAGGCTGTAAATTTCACAGGAAGAGACTGCCTGTCTTTTTCTTTTGGAGCAGCTGGTGGATTTGAACCACTTGTCTTTAAGTTGGCAGTACAACTCCTTACAATAGTTCACCAAAGCTTTTTATTATCATTCAGAAACAAATAATTAAGAAATCTTTTGAAAACTCTCATGGCTTAGTGTGTAAGGAGCTGTGTTGCCAACCCACGGGCAGGTTGTTCAAATCCACCAGCTCCCTCTGACAGAGAAAGAAGAGCACTCTTCTCCCTTATGATTTAGAGCCTCTGAAAATCCTCTGAAGGGTGAGATGTGAGTTGGTTCTGACTTGATGGCATACGACAACAACATATTCATTTAGGGAACTCTGAGGTCTTAGCTTTCAGGGAGTTGTAGTGCTATCCCAAAGATGGCTCCTCAGTGGCCATTCCAACCCAGAGAATGGGGGCATTCTCTTCCCATGAGATTTAGAGCCTCCAAAAAAGGAGGCTCAGCTGTGAGTTGGTTCTGGCTCCATGGCAGTAAGTTCAAGTTTTATAGTCATTTATTATAAAGTTTTATATATCACAGTATATTGCCACAGGTTGCAAATGCTTCTTATTCAGATATTGCACATTCTACTTCACCTTCCCTCGGGATGAACCCGAGTAAATGCATATAGGCTATTGCTTCCATATCATAGAAGCATTGATCTCAGCAGCACTTAAAACGCGTGACACGTTGTTGGAGCTAGGAGCTCTCTGCAGTCTGGAGGAAGCAGGCTGCTGGAGGTGCTACAGGGATTCTCCTTAAATTAAACTAAAACGTACTTGTATAAAATGTAATAATCTATACAAAATAGAAAAAATAATATATATAAAATGTACTTGTATAAAATGTAAATGCTTGTATAAATGTGTAAAATATAATTGTATATTATCTTCTATCAAAAATATTGGATGAAGGAGGATACATTTATTTTTGTATCTCAAGATAGACTAAAATTCAGTGTGTTGTAGTGATAAGTACTAATTGAAGAATTTTTTTAGTGCCTGTATTACCTGCTTATGTAACTCTAATGAGTTAATGAATGTCTGTATTGTGTAATACCACCTGAAATATCCTCTTCTATAATTCCAGGTTACGTTTAGCAAGAATGAATGAAGAGATGCGAGAATCAGAAGGACTTTATGGACAGCCAGGTCAATATTCTACTAATAACCATACTGAAATGCAGTATAAGAAATGCATTCAGGAATTTATCAGTTTACAATTGGAAGATTCATAGTTCTTGATCAAACTAACTTAACGTTGTAGAGTTTTTATAATCAACTTGTAAATTGTGAGTTTCTTAGGTGTGGCCTGTGCTCAGTGAATCCTTGGGGGGCTGAGTGCCAGAGTGTTAAGCAGCCCACCACTCGACCTATTGTAGCACATATTTACATGCTGTGTTTAACCTCCTGGCTGCTGACTTCCTTTATCTGATGTCCAGATGTCTTCCATATACATTCCAGTGAAACGAATGGAATAATAACGTGTTCTGTATATACTTAACAGCGGCACAATAAGGATTTTCTTTTTGGAATTCTTTTTAGCTGTCAAGTGACGATAGCATAATGGTTTCTTTATGTCATTCAGGGAATTTCTATGAATTGTGTTCAGGGAAAAAAAAACAACAAATCATCATATGCTTGGCATATAAAAAATCAATATGGAAAATATCAAGAAAGTTTATTGAGTTAAGAGTTTTGTACTCCAGTCAAAAAAATGAGTTGACGGGTAAAAGTGTACCATTAGGTTAAGAAGATCCTTGTGAGAGTCGAAGCTAATTTAAAAGAGAGAGGAAAAAGATCTTATTGAGTCTTGTAGCTTTGCCCCTAATCAGTTTTGTGCAATGTCTGTTGGATAGTTGAAGTGTTTAAATTTGATGGCAAAGTAGACTTATTAGAGATATCTCAACCTATGAGATCAGCTTATGTTTTAGTTTTTATTCATTTTCCCCATTGAGTCTAGATATCAAGCAAAGGAATAAATGTTGCTGATCAGATTCCTCTCTTGGGTAATCTCATCTTGATTAACCATTCTTCACCCAAAAGAAAGTCATTATTGGGCTTCTACTTTCATGAGTTGAAGTATATGAATCACTAATTTATTGCTTTTGAATTTATATACACATTAGTAAAAAGATATTCAGAGATTCATGACTAAAATCCAGTGTTCAGTTTGTAATGAGTATATTTGATTTTATCCCCCCAATAGATTTTGATATATTATTTATAAAGTGGCCTGGTAATATCATCTTTTTGTCTGATTTAAATATATGCTAAAATATCCGTGTTTTGTTAGCTTCAGGGAAGTCTAGTGGTGGAGTCTGTAGGGTGGTGCTATACACTGCTAGCACAAAAGCATTGCTTCTTTACAGTTCATCTCCACCAGTGACTCTGCAGGAGAAAGATGGGCAGTCTCCTCCTGTGCAATTTACAGCCTCTGAAAACCTGCCAGAGGGTCAGCTGTGAGTCAATTCTGACTCCTTAGCAATGAATGCAAGTGTGTTATGCTAGCTTCAATTGTTTTGCTTTTATTTTTAAGTGGATAATTAATGTAAATGTAAGGCCATCTTTTTTTCCCCTCAGAGGACTGTATTTACTACTTATTTTTGGTTTAAGTTAATAGAGAATAAGTAAGAACTTTGAGAATAAGGCACTTGAACTAGATGCTTCTAATCTAGGGTGCCCTTTTTAATCCTATGGATCGTACAGTACTGCTGACTCATGATATCCTAAGATATACGAGTGCTGATTAAGGGTGAAGTTTCAGTGTTCATTCTGGATCTCACCAATTTGTTTTAAACTTGAATGTTAGATTTTAAATAAGTTATAATTTTGTAGCAGATTAAATGAAATGATAGTATTACTAGGCCATTTTTGAGGCCTTTGTGTTTAAGCACTTTAAAATTAAAATTAGTCAGAGGATATGACCCAATAGTTCCAAGAGTGAACTTCAAGTTTTTAAGTTACAAATAATCATTTTTCCTGAAATTTTAAATGTAAATGTTTGGTCAGTGGATCTTTACTCTAAAGTATTTGCTGATGAAGTTACACCAAAGTGATTAATGAGAAGGTCAGTGGCTGATTTTCTCTGGAGTTGGGAAACTTAAAAGGATAGGGCCTACTCTGTTCTTGCCACTTCTGGTTCCACCCATGTTATTGGACTTCTACTGCTACCTTTGGGAACATTTGAATGTCTCTTTCATCACTGTCCTTTATGTATAAATTTATCCCTGCTCCTCACTTACCGACTAATACTTTATCTGACATTTTGCATTTATAACGATAATGAAAAGGGAGATTAATTTTGTGAGTTAATGCTGTACATCTGGCAGTAATGGGCACTGAGATGCAGAGTGAGAATGATGCTGGCTGTATTCGTTAAAGTTTATGCCAACATGGCTGTACCATCTTGCTCGGTTTCTAATGATGTGATTTGACAGTTCTTTTGTCATGTAGGTCCTACATTTTGAAAATGTAACCACATAGATAAGTGAAGAATGGGTGTATATATAAGTGTATAAATATATTTTCTATACATTAGTTAAGAATATTTTTTCCAAATTATTTATTTTATTTAAATGAAATATTGAAAATAAAATGCCCAAGACTTCATTTTAAACAAAATATTCTACCCATCTCCAATTTTAGTTTGGTAGTTAAAAAATGCATCAGAATTCTAGGTGGATCAGCAGATCTATTTTAGGATCCTATCAGTAATTGCTAGCTTTTCAGCCCATATTGAAAGCCTAATACTTAAAGTGGAACAATTTCATACTTAAACAGATGGCATGGTGAAATGGCCTAGTAGTGGTTTTGTGGGTTATTTCCTTTTATGAGTCTTGGGAGAAAGAGGTGCTTGCTTAGGTTGCGGCTTGCTCTTTCTCCTCGCTGCTTATTATACTAAACTTTTCTCTAATTGAATTTACCTAATTGTTTTATAGGACTCCTTTGTCTATTGTTCCTCACAATAAAAAGAAAACATCAGATTTTACATAACTTTCCCCTTGAATTTTATGTCTTTTGTTGTTCTTATTCAGACGATACATAGAAAAACGTAACAGCAATTCAATAGTTTCTGTATGAGCAATTTAGGGATATTGAGGATATTAACCTTAGAGGTTCCTAGCTCATCTTTTAATTTGCTGTTGTCAGTTTGATCCCATACAGATAGTTCTTGAGAGAGGAATCTTTTTGCTAGCTAAGCTAAACTGTTGTTTATTTTTAAGATGACTTCAGGGGATACTTTTGGTATAAGGTTTAAAGTTTATCTCAGGGTAATAGTTTCAGGGATTCATCCACTCTCCATGACTTCAGAAAATAGAGAGTCCATGAGAATTTGCAATTCTGTTCTGTATTCCCCCCACTTTGATCAAGTTTTCTTCTATAAAATCCTTGATCAAAATGTTCAGTAATGGTAGCTGGGACCTTATTCAGTTCTAGTCTCATGACAAAGGTGGCAGATATTTCACTTCTGCCTCCTGTTCCTAACTGCTTTCTTTGTTGCTCTAGGTGAAAAGAGAATGGTTGTTGTGCCTTGTATGGCCACTTAAAAGCTTTTAAGAGTTCAGGCACTAAGCAGTGAACTAGGAGGTAGAACAGAAACACTCAACATATTATTAAGCCGGTTAATTGAGATGAAATCCTGATCCTAAACCTCCAAACCAAGGAACCAAATCCCATGAAGTTTGGTAGTACAGAAGCCTCAACAACTACTACATTTTTGTCTTTGTTGTAAATAAACCTATTTTATGATTTTTCCAGTTCAACTTTTTACATGTATACAATTTATTGTTAGCAATGTCAATAATTGCTTTTGTCTGGATAATTTTTAAAAAGCAAGTATTTATAATCTTTTGATAATGAAGAGGCCAATTATTGAAAAGACTCAAATAGAATCTTTTTGGCAAACATGGACCCATTCCTAGAAAACTCAGCTTCTGAACCTTCTTTGACCCACAGAGACCTGGAACTCTTGGGTTTTTTGAAGAGGAAATACTGATTCCTGTTTTCTAGTAGGAAGATGTGTCCCTCGTTAGCAGTTCCTACAACGTAGTGTAACCAGGTGGAAGAGTGAACGTCACATGTAGCTCACAGTAATTGGAAACCAGCTTGGTGGTTCCCACTGTCTTTGGCTCCATGACTCCCCTTGGTAATGACAGTGTTTGTCAGCCCTTTGAGAGTCACTGCTTTAGTGAACTGATTATTGGAGTAATAGGTTGGGAAACTTTGGAAATCAGAGATCCTAATTAGTTTTTAAAAGGAAGTGATTGCAAGCCCCAAAAGGGCAAGAGGACCCATATACATGATAATCCGAGGAGCAGGAAGATCTTACTGTTGCCATCCTTTCTATAGGGCGTACATTTCACAAGCAAAGTCAGCAGAATCTTAGAGCATCATAACTGCTGTTGCAGTGGGTATTCTGAATACCAAAAGTTAAAAGCTATTTAAGGCTCTCAGTGCAAAGGAAGCAGTAAGCATTTTTAGAAACTCAGATCTGCCCGTGCACCCTTGAAAGTTGACTATTTCAAGAGAAATAGGATGTGGTTTGGCACTTCAAAGGTCATGTACAAATTTCGTGCAATTCATTATTTACCATTTAAATACTGTTAAATACACTTCCTTGAACATTCTGGGGCAGCATTCTGGGTTGTTGTTTATGTGTTTCAATGTAGACAAGTTAAATTTGCTTTGGGAAAAAATATGAAGGATTAAAAGTATGTTTAAAGTATAAAGAACCACACTGAAGTCCAATTTATGTCAATAATTATATTAAATATCTCAGTCCTGTTACATTTATTGTACTATAACATTTACCTTTTCTACAACACATTTTGAGGTCTAAGAAAGGTAGCATATTGGCAATGTGCTGTCTCGTTAGAAACTGGACGTGAACATGTTTGTGCGTGTGTGTGTATAAAGGTGGAAACTTCTTTTTTGTATTGTATTAACTCTTTTTAAATGTATTCAGTCAGTGAAACCAATGATGTACTGTGTCAAGTAGCACCAATACTTTTCTTCAAGGAAACTTTTAATTAAACAAATGAAAGATTTTATCATTTGTTCTGCATGGTACAATGGTTATACTAAACTGTACTTGTGTAGTAGGTACTGGATAACTTAAAAACAAAAACTGGAAAAATATAAAAAGAAAAAATCCTACAGCTTGTTCTACGAAATATGCATTGCTAATAGTAGAAGCCATATATTGCCATTGTACTGTTGTAAAACTTGAGAATGTTCATCTGGTGCTCTCTGTATAATATTTGGTATTAGCATTGGCTAGATTTTCTTCTAATTCTTCTTGAATGTATCATGTGTGCCTTTTAAGTTGGTTTTGATGTTGAATGGTAAAATCAGTGTGGTATTTTTGTATTATGATAAACTGCACTTTATACTTTCTTGGAAAGTAAAATTCCAGGCTCCAGTTTAAATAGTATTTAAAATATTTATAATGTTTACAATAAATATTTTAATTCAGTATCTAAGAATAAGAAAATTTAAAAAACATTTTGTATGGTTTGTTATTTGCTATTTCATGTTGCTTCCTTCTCAGTTTATTTTGTATCTTTGAGAATGGCTAAAAATAGGAATAAAGTTTGTTTTTTAATGGGAGAGAAGATTTTTATGAATAATTGGGTGAATTTGGAATACCTCACAATTACTCCAGTATATAAATTAATATTTTGGTTGCATTGGTAATCATTATGAGGTAAAAATTATTCTAAATCATCCTAATATGATACTGTTTTTTAGTTTCTTTTTACTAAATTACAGTTATTTGTTGTAATTGATTAACCTAGAACCAGTTAGCCCCTAAAATTCTAGGATTAAATGAGAAATGTAGATATATTAATAAATTGCCTTCTGAACACTAAATATTAAAATACTTAGAAAACTTTCCTTGACAATCTTAGGCAGTGCTGTTAGAAATCTTCACTAGAGCTTTCTCTCCCTCTCTCAACTTTTTACTTTTGTAGCTTTCGTTATAACATCTGTTACCTCAAAAATTTATTTCTTAAGAGCTGATGAAAGTGCACTGTTAACAGCTGTAGCAATTAGTTTGTTAAAAGATGGATGCAAGATATTTTATGGGAAATATCTATGAAACTATGGCAACAGTGTCCACCTAGAAGGACATTTGATAGTCTAAATCTTGAAAATAGTATTATGCTAGGCGTCTGTAGAAAGCCAGGTATAGCAGGAAGCGCTCATGTTGAGTGCTTGAAAATAAGATTTTGCTTTACACAAATCCTTTGCCCAAGGAATTAATCTGTACCTTTGTATATGTGTATATATTTAGTATCAGTATCTATAATTGACAGCTCTACAAGCATATTTGTACATATATACTTACATTAATAACATAATCTTATTTGTTACTCTTAACAGATATCTTTAGTATATAACCTAATTTTGTTTGCATTCATACTCCTATGAGCTACAGTAGACAAAACTCTCCTAACTAAATGGTATACTATGGTTTTACAGTCATTTTCTAGGCTTTATTATTTTATAAGCTTTGTAAGCTGGAATATGCCCACTAGGTGTAGTTCATTAGTTTTAAATAAAAATCAAAAGTCAGGCCAAAGAGTTACTTTTTCACATGTCTTTTGAATTAACATGATTTTAACTTAAAAGATAATATTAACACGGAGGCTTGCCCCCATCTGATTATCAGCTTGCCTTGTGATAATAACTTGCATCCATTAAAAACATTAGTATTTGGTTTTGATAATTTCTTTTGGCCGTTACCAAGGAACGTGTTTAAAGAATGCCTTGTTTTCTATACCTCATTTAGAATGACTTTTTCTCATGTGTTAATAAATGTGTTTCTTTACATTGCTTTACAACCCTTGCATCTTGGCTCTTTTCTAACTCCGAGCTTCTCTCTGTGGCTGCATTGAGGGGCTTTCTTCAGGTACTGCTTTTTTCTTTTTTTTTTTTTTTTCTTTTCTTTCAGTATACCCTTTCCTGGCTTTTATATTTAGTTCTCTTTCCTTCTAAAAATTGCTCATCTGAAAATGTTTTTAACGCATCGCCGCAAATGACGGCAAAATGTGTTTCTAAGCACGGTCGTCAATGTAAAAGTGTGCGGCAACATGTTAATGTAATGAATTACAAAATTGTTACTAGTCATAAGAATGCATGTTGTTTATTTGTAATTTAATTGTGTAAATTTTTAAAGTGTCATTTTCTTTTCATGCAGGTGATGAGACCTACCAAGACATTTTTCGTGACTTTTCCCAAATGGCATCCAATAATCCGGAGAAACTAAATCGTTTCCACCAAGATTCACAGAAATTCTGAATTTTTTTTTTTTTTTTAAAGTAGGAGGAAGTAATAAACCCAATGATCTCCTAATATGTACAGCTGAAAACTCACACATTTTTACTGTTTTAAGACTACTTACGTAATTTGAGTAGATACTGAGTAGGTTAGGCAAAAAAGGTACCCATTCAGTGATGCTTATAGAAATAAAAACCCAGGTCTCAAATAGTTGGGAGAGGAACCTACTTTAGAACCTCTTTTTCATTATCCCCCCCATAAGCCTGTTTAATAGGCTGTTTGTATAGATAAAAGTAAAATATAGACGTAGGCTGTCTCTAGGCTACAGTATGTTAAAGGGTTGCACACAATCTCTCTTGTTTTTTCCCCAAGTGGATTGTAGTGAATTGAGTTCTTCATACTTTGTATCTAGAATCGTTCAATCAAGTTTGTCTGTGCTGACTGGGAGTCAGAAGCCGTCTTAAGAATAAGTCTTTTCTAGCTTTCTGATGATTTTTGGAGGTTCAGAAGCAGTGTGCCTGTGGTTCTTTTATTCCTGCTGTTGGCTGTAGATTAGCAATAATACACAAAATATACAATTTAATCATTAGAAATAGATAAAATGTTTCCCCCATTTACTCACAAATACAGTTTTAGATGCCAAGTCAGTGTCGTGTACTTTGATGTATATAAAATGGCTCTATAGGTAGACATAGCCCAATCAGTTCTTTAGATTGAATTCATTTTATGAAGATAAAAGACACCTTCAAAACTTTCTTAATCACTGCAAGAAATGTCATTAAAACCTTGCCAAATTTATTGAGATAACAGAACTGTGCTGCAAAGGTTACTTGAATGTTGCAAAGTTATGCTTTTATCAAATGTTACTTTCAAAGAAAAATTGACTTGTAACAGAATATAGGACATTTTTATATTTGAAATTTGTCCTTTTCAAGGTATATTTTTGCTAATGCTCCTATTGAAAGAAATCTCTCTGCCTTAGGGAATGAAAACAGTTTTCTTTGTTTCTACAGCAATAACTCAGTTAATTTTTTTTACATTTATCCTGTGTGCATGTATTGTACACAGTGTGCACTCTTTTTAATTTTGTCATATGTACATATACAGCTTTAGTGTTTGGTTACAAGAATCAGAGACCCTTTCAGAGACCCTTTAATTCCAACATCTTATGGACATACTTATTTACTATCTAGCCGTGTGTTACAAGTTAGTCTGATTCAGCTTCCATTATCTTATCAGAAATACGTTGTTGTTGTGTAGAGTCAGAACCGACCCATAGCTGACCCTCCAGTGAATTTTCAGAGGCGGTTAATCAAACGGGGGTAGATTGCCCATCCTTCAGAATAAATAAGTTGCCGTATGTTCTTTTTTCGTACAGCAATTGCATTTAGTTAAGTTTAATCTTCTTTTACAAATTATGTGTTTAGTAATACATACTCAGAGTAATGAGAGGTATTTTAAAGCTTGAATTTATCAAATAGGTATAGGTGGAAAAACTGTAACTTGGTAGATAATAAATTTTCTAACATTTTCTCTTATAAATAGGATTTTGTAAATCAATTAAATATTACTTGAGAATCTATATAACAGGAGTGATACTGAAAATAATACACCACAGAAGAGGTTCTGTAATTTGGCCAAATTGCATGTATGCAATGCTTGTGTAGTAATAGTCACTCTATATTAGAATAAATATAAAAATACATTTTATGTATTTGTGAATTCTTTCCAAAGTCTAATTCTAAAGCATTGCATTTTAGTCACAATAAAAGCAGGAATACTAGATAGTACTCATTTTACCTCACAGTAATGAATCATCTGGTCTGTAACATTTTTTATTAGAGTGTACTTTGAAAATAATTGTCAGAAAAGCTCAAGGATAAAGAAAGATGTAAAACAAATTAGCACAAGAAAGCAAAGGACAACTCAGAGCTTTGCAGAGTCCACTCCTGTGTAATCCTAGGACTTGACGACAAGACAAGCACTCCTCACTCGTTTATTCTGAGGCGACCTGGGCAGCATTCCTGGTGGATCCAACCCAGGGAGCATCACTTCCCATCAAAGTGGTGACTGGAATCACCGGTCACTCATGTGGAACCTGTGGTGGTGACACGCTTACCTCCTGTGGCTGATTGATGTGGCCATAACTAGTGTCTGCCCAAATGTAACGGTTAGAAGTATATTTTAAGTAAGCCAAAGATGATCATGGCTGTCTATGGATTTCTCTGGAGAAAAGGAAATTGTTAACAGTGCAGGAAAAGTGGCAATACAAAAATATATTTCTAAGACTTATTTTTTCCCAAATATGCAGAAACTCAATTTTGACTATTTGGGGAGAAATGATGGAGTAAGCAGTAAATGAATAGTTAGAGTGATTATGAGATAGGTTAGCTTCTAGATGAATTGAACTGTGTCAGCTGACAACTTTCATTGTATAGTATGTAACAAATCAGTTTTATTATGCTGTGAAGTATTAAATGTATTATAAGAAATTGTAGGATAAACAATGTTAATATTTTGGGGCTTCCGAAATCAATGCGATTAACCTTTGTTTTCTTTCTGTACTGATCTACAGATCCTGGTTTCTGATTCCTTATTATTAGTCTGTTATCTCATTAACCTAAGAAAACCCCCTAGATTTTCAGAAGAAGAATAGCAGAATATGAAGAGTTCATAAAATAGGGTTTCATGTTAGAATTAAAGTTAATCGAGATAATTTATCTGTAATATGTCATTGTAACATCGTACATATATTTAAGATTTCTAAGGACTTAACATTTACTTTTGGTACAATCCTTAGAAATTCAGAAATTTCTGGGGATTCACTTCAATATAGTGTTTGCCCAATTTATACTGGTCCTCATTGTGGATTTTAATGAGTCCACATGTGTACTTTCTAAAACATGCAAATTTAATTTACCTAGTTATTCATGAAAAAATTCTGGGGAAAAAAGTAAACCTTCATTATCTGAATGACTTAAGTTTGTGATATGTTAAGCAGTATTTTTAAATTACAATTTTACATATGTAAAGTATGGACACAATAAAGCAAATTGTATTTGAGACAATTATGCATATTGAATAATAAGACATTCCCAAATACTCTTTATTGTTATGTTAACTTTTCTGCTTAATAGTACTTTTGACCATGGACATGAGCTGGGGAAATGAGAAGTTTTTATAATTATGTCCAGAATGATGTTAGAGCTACATGACATAGTGCAAAGAAAACAGAACTGGTAGTCTTTACTTTTTGTGGATTTGAGATCCTCACAATAAAATTAGTAGAATGAGAAAAGGTGAACATAAAATACCTATTTGTATAATGTTTTGCTGTTTACAGTGTCCTTTGACATTACTTTTTCTCACCTGATTGTCCCAGCAGGAATTGAGAGCTAAATCTCCAAGCTCTAAGACTGCTCACGTCTCTAAGTCCAATATGTCTAGTTTCTTGCTTTCCTGATGAGATCATTTGCTTTGCTGGTTGGTAGCAGAAGGGACACCAGAACTCATATCCAACTGACTGTTAGTCAGAGGCACTTTCCAGGGATCATGAAGTGATGGGAGATGATTATACAGCAGCAAGATTGGATAATGATCGCAAGCTCTCCTTGTGTTTTGATAACAGACTCCAGATAGTCTCTGGAAGTTGGATATAGTATCACCTTAAAGAGATAAATTGGGATTTGAAAACTAAGTTACTTTTTTTTTTTTTATAGTTGCAAACACTGATGAAAGTAACACATGGTACAAGGAATGTTAATTCACCCATTGCATATAAATTTCTTGATGCTTCAAATGATTATTAGAGGAGGCTTTGATTCCATTTGGTTGAATCTTGACACCCATAATAATGATGTTGTGACATGATTTCCTGCTTACATAAATTTATCCACTTAATGTGGATTAACAGGACAAAGCAATATTTGATTAAACTTTCTCTGCCTTAGTCTTTTCACTGTCTCATGTTCTAGGTTTTTAAATTGTTCATCAACTCTCCCTTATGAGTATTCATTTAAACAGGGAAAGCTTGCTCCATTATAAAGATTGCTGGTGCCATTTATTTTATATGATGATTAAAAGTAAACTTTTTGAAGTGGTGAGCTCCTTCTCTTTATGTATCTACCTATCTATGCTTTGTGGGATTTCTGGATCATTCCAGTCGTAAAGATGTATTACGTGTACTATTTCCTACTACCTGTGGACAGGTGTATTTTAAAGAATGTATAACCAGTACTCCATTTATTTTTTATTAGTCTGTAGAGAATTTGTATCTAATATGGGACTGTAGTTACACTGTAGTTTGTCATAGTAAATGGAGCAAAGTACATTCATTATCTTTATAGTTATTCTAAACTGTATATTATGTAAGAATTGTAAATATTGTACTTGATTAAATACTTTGTATGCTGAAAAATTATGGTAATAAGTCAATAAAAACCTCACCTCTGACATTGATTGTTCTGTCATTATTCAGTTAAGTTCTGTACGTTGCAATTGGCTAATATGTCTCTTGAACCTTATTCTATTTTTTTCTCTCATACTTTTTAAAAATTCTACTTGTATTTATTCAATACATCACTTTTGATGGCTGCAGTATTGTTTTAGTTTCAATTTCACTTCATTTGGTGGACTTTTAGTGACAGTATTTTTTATCCCAGAGCTCGCTTTAATTTCTGGAAATAAAACTGCAGGTTCAAAGGCGACGTATATTTTTGAACCAGTTGCCATACTGATTAGCGGGAGTATTGTTAGGCTCTTGGCTGGAGCTGACCCCAGCTGTCAGGCTAGGGAGGTGATCAGAGACCCCCTGTTGAGGAAGTAACATCTAAGTCAAGGTCTGAAGCAAAATGAGCAGTTACCTAAGTATGGGTCTCATGCAGAGATATTCAAACTTTGATCCCTGGTTCCCTGTTGAGAATCATGGCCTGAGCTTGTGGAAGATATACAGGGCCTGGACTTGGAGTGTTTTTTATCAACTTTCCCAAGTGTTGTAGGTGCCAGCGGAAATTTGGACTGCTTTCTCAGTGGGAGCCTTCCTAGATCTGGACAGGGAAGAGCTGAGCGGTTACTTGGAGCATAGAGTTTAGCCAAAATGTCCTCCAGTAAAGTTGTATAAATGTACAAACACTCGCCTGCTATGTGGGAGAATATCCATTTCTCTGGAACTTTGACAATAGTACAAAAAAGGGATTATCCAGTTTTATAGATGTGGAAAATCATTAAGCTTTGTGTAAGCTATAATTACAACTGGAGACTTAACTGAACTTGTCGCGGTTTTTGAGGGAGCACCAGGGTCCTAGTGACAAGAAGTTGCGCTTTAATCC